CTGTAAGAGTACGATAATTTGCAACTATGCAAAATCGAATTAATTTTTAACGAAGAGAAGAGGAAGACGTAGCAGCAGCCCGGATTGGCGAGCAGTTGTTGCATAGACGTCGTAGCGCATACGCGCATTCCATTTCGTTTAGTTTTTTTAAATTATTTTATGTTTTCACATCGAACAATTCCTTTGTTATTTTATATTTTCGTAATATGAATTAAATCAATAAACGTTTTATGTTCCATTAAAGTAAATCCTGACAAACGCACAAGTGTTATTCTCTTAATCTTTTAAAAGTTCGTAATGGGAACTACAGTCTGTGACAGAAAATTGTCTATAGGCCCCATATATCAGTACCTCACTATATTCGGTATTTTAACGATTTTAGGTATAATACTCACCGAAATTGTTTGAGGTGTCGTATTTGAAGTTAGTAAGCCAGCTACAGACTGTGACAGAAATTTTTTTATACAGGTCCAGGTCTTCGTATAGCACCGATATACCGGTACCTCTCTATATACGGAATTTGATGATTTTAGCTACATTATTCACCGTTTATTTTAAATTTAGAATTTGAATATGGTAATGGCTTATGACAAACAATGCCTATGTAGGTCCAGTCGTACAGGCCCTAATATAACGGCTATATTCGGTATTTTTAAGATGTTAACAGAATTTTTGGCGAATGTTATCTTTTTCGAAACTTTCCAAATCCGTTCCAAATCGCGGAGGGTATTCAAAGTTCGGCCCGGCCGAACTTACTGTTTTTTACTTGTTTTTAGCTTAAAATCCTTTCTTTTAGTAGACCTAACCTACCTGATTAGAGAAGCAATTGATATAGGTGATAGTTGTGTTCTTGGGCTTAAGTTGAGTTTAGGGGTTATGCTCGGATTTTTACGGATTTTTTTTAACTTGATTACGGCGAAGTATTTTTTTTTGTGAGGGAAATACCCAAATTTATCCTATCCAACAAGTGGTCATATGAGTTACTGGAACCGGTGCCGGAGTAATACAAGAAAATTTTTATTTTTGTACCAGTACTTTTTGAAAAACCCCAAACACTGGAAAATCGTCCCTTATACGGTATTAAAATCTACATACCATATTAAAGCCAACACTATTGCCATACGTGTTGATATATCTTGTACTTCCGAAGATATAGGTTTTATATTCATTACTTATGAAAGCAGTTTTGAGTGAAGTCCAGTTTTGTATCGGGTTTGCTAATCTGATTTGTTTTGAATTCGGTGTTGACTTAAAACTACGTTAGATAGAAAGGGAATCAAGATTCAAAGAATTTCTACGCATGTAGGTGGAAAGGGAATACCTGAAAAGTACCGCTAAAAATTGGCTAGTTATACCCTCCACCTTGGAAAGGAGGGTATATTAACTTTGTCATTCCCTAAATATTCGTCATTGACCCCATAAAGTATATATATTCATAATCAGCATAAAATTCTAAGTCGATTCAACGATGTGCGTCTGTTTATCTGTTGAAATCACGACACAGCCCACATTATTTGACGTAGAGCGTCGTTTTGATGATTTTTGCCACATTTTCCACGGATTTGTCTAAAAATTGGTATTGGTGTGTCATAATGGTTTCTAGCTCGTGTGAAGAAACATTGTATGTATAGGTACCTTCCTTGTATATAACGATACCTTCCGATATTCGGCATTTTGATGATTTTTGCAAAATTTTTCACGGATTTGTTTAAAAATTGGTATTTGTTAGTCAGAATGGGTTCTAGCTCCGGTGGCGAAAAATTGTATGCATAGGTCCAAATTTTTGTTGTAGCCCTCATATAACGGTACCTGCCGACATTCGATATGTTGATGATTTTTTTCACGAATTTGTCTAAAAATTGGTATATGTAGTACATAGTGGGTTCTAGCCCGGTGGCAGAGCATTGAAAGTATGTAAGACCCGGCTGTGTAATTATTTTTGAAGGTAAGATTATATAATATTTTGACATTTTTTTATTAGAATAAATATTATCTTTTTTGTGGGCTTATAACACCTTGTATGAAAAGGGGTATACCCATCACAAAGTCAACCATTCTGAGCATTTTGTGGATTCCGAAACGGCGCATCACACCAATACTATAGAGGATTTGTGCCGTCACCTCAAGGTGGCACTTTCTGCATATAACCGTAGAAAAATATTTTTTAACGGTTATATTGTTTTTTTTTGTTTTTGTTATTCTTTTTTGTTATATAGAATTTGCAATTTAGTATTAAGAATTAAAAGTGAATTAAAAAAAAATATTTTAATTAGAATAGAGAATGTTTTATAAATATAAGTGTAGAAAATTATGGATTACGTAGCCGGTGTTGGGCATACGCTAGAGGAGAAAATCTAAAGCCCCGGCCGAAGGTTATCTACTTACGAAAATTACAATATTTAGAAAAAAAAAAATATTGATCGCCTAGCCGGTATTGGACATACTCCAGAGGATTAAATTCCAAGCCCGGCCGAAGGTCGCCTGCTTAAAAACGCTGTAAAGGTTAAATACATATTACTGGACAAAATCGCAAATTAATAACTTCTATCACTAATATTTTCGGAACCAAAAGAGATACCAACACGTATGACACAATTTTGGAAAGGCAATAGTGTTGGCTATATATGCAGATTTTAATACTCTATAGTGGTTTCATTTTCGAGTTTTTAGGGGTTTTTAAAAAAAGTACTGGTACAAAAATACCAATTTTCGATCATTACTCCGGAACCGGTTCCAGTAACCCCATCATATGCCAACTTGTTAGGATGGGTATTTTCATAAGTTTTTTCATAATACCAATATTTTTAGATATTGGTTACGTAGAACTGATGTTGTTTCCGAACTTTCGGCTCGATAACCGTGTAACCGGGGCTTTCCCGCACAAAAAAAGTTACTTTGCCGTAATCAGGTTAAAAATACCTACCTGTGGTAAAAATTGCAGGTCAATCCGATCATAGCTTCTAAATTCAACTCCTTTTGTTTCATATGTCAATGACATTGGAAGTTTTTTGCAAGCGGACGACATTCATTTATTTTTTAATGTACAATCTGAGAGATTAGTTATAGAAAAACATAAATACAATATTATGTCATATTTTACGTTGGTTGAGTAATAATTATCTTGTAGCAAATGTTTCTAAGACAAAGGCAATGTTTTTGGTCAATCTTGCCGACTGGATAGCAGTGTACATACATACATGTTAATGGTTTAGCAGATGATTTTGTTGTTTGTATAAATTGTTTAGATGTTAACCCAGATTTTCCCGTGGCATGATTATGCATTACACCCCAAAATAAAAATATGCTCCAAAAATCATATTCAATTTATTTCCAGTTGCCTTTTTTGTGAAGGGAAATCTTGCTTATTTCCTATTGTTTTGATGTTATTTCAGATACAACACATAAGTATTTAATGAAAATAGAAAAACTTTTGACTATGATTGTGAGACTTGAGGCATGTTTACGTTAGAGCTTTTTTCCGGGTTAACCTTGGTTATGAAGATTTATTTGAGGTATATACAATGGAATGGACAATTTAAACCGACTGGGTTTTCTAAGTCCTCTACAACGTAAACGTACTGTTGCTTATAATGTGCATAGATTCGACATTTCTGCATATGTCGTCCATTTTCTGGGAGTGCCATTCCTTTCTTTTGTTAAACAACGTGTGTTTTCATTTCTATATAAATCAATTTGTTGAGACCTTCCAGTTTTCCGGCGAAATTTTTATGTACCTTATTTTTAAACAGTAAAATGTTTGTTTGGAGCATTTGTTTTTGTTAGGATTGGTCCTTCAGCATCCTTCCTTCCTATTTGTCTGTTCATTGAGTTTCTGGTTGCGGGTTATATTTTGTTATTTCTTTTTAGTTATTGGCTGGGGGCCATTTTTATGGTAGTTTATTTTCCATGTAGTACATAATTTTATTGTTTTTTTCTTTTTTAAGGATTTTTTTTGCTATACTTGTAGTAGCTACATTCGCTCGGTTGGTAACGAGTGATGATTAGCGCTTAAGTGTATTGATGCCTCTTGCCTTTTTCCTCTCTACCTTGCTAAACTGTTGTTCAGCTTGGTAGAGGAGTTTTGTCTGAGGGTCTAGTTGCTACTAAATTTAAATTTTTATTATTATTTTGTTTTGTATATATTTTACTATTCGTTTATAATTTTTGTTATTTATTTAGTTTTTTTTTTTTTTTTTTTTTTTAGATTTTGGCCATGTTGGCTTATTTATATTGAATTGTATGAAATAAATGAAATGAACTTCAAATTTACTAATAAAAAATGCAAAATAAATAAACAAAACAACTTTGTTTATTTAACACTTTTTTAAAATATTTTAATTTTTCGATAAAATTCAGTTTATAATGTGACTAAGATTTTCTTTCATACCAAATCTCAAACATTTATTTAGAAGTGAACATTTTTGGTGTTATAACAATCACGGAAGTACTTTTCGCGACAGTTATTGGTAGTAGTTTTATTTTTTATATATTTTTATAGTTACGCTAGACTACTTAGCTGTTTTTTTTTTTAATGTTATGTCTGGCTGGAGAATCGAACCCGGGGTTCAGAAAGCAAACGGAGCATATTTACTATTGCACCAAATTTGAATTGTACACTGTCGCATAAAACAGGGATTGCGGCACATTTTCATAGAAAAAGAATTGAGCCCATGGTTCCTTTCTTATTAGACTCAATTTTTGATCTACGAAAATCTACAATGAAAGATTGTAAAAAATGACAATGTTTTACATCTATTTTATAAAACAGATTTGCATATTTATTTTATTTATTTTGGTAGCGGTAAATAACATTGTTTACTGAAGGATGGGTTAGGGAAGCCTATAGTTTTTTAATCCTTTATCGTAGTTGTATTTGTATATCTTCTTTTGTTTTTTACAAATTTGATGGATTTGTAAACTTGAAATTAAATAGCCCTTGATCGAGTTTTTGACACTGTTGAGTACGATAACTTACTGCGTTCGATAAAAAAAGATTTAAATTCCCATGAGTTGAAAAAGAATTTATTTATTAGTAGTTTTGAATTTGATATTTTTCTAATAATTGTTCTTAATCAAAATAGTTTATAATTTAGAAATGATGCACATCAACAAAACAGAACTGAATTTATAACATTTATTGTTAATTGTACAAACTAAAACGAAAGAACAAATGAAATTAAAAACATAAAAACAAAAGCACAAAATGTGTGACAAACATCAAAAGATTTTACATAAAATCACAATTACATCTCTTAGTTTGGATGTTTGTCTTTAGAATCGGTTGGAGACATTGATTGTAAAGGAGTTTTCATAAATATTAAACTAGATACATGCAGTTATATTAAAATAAAGACTATACTAGTAACATTCATCATCACATTCGCCGGTTTCGTGTCCGAAAACTGAAATAAATTTAAAATAGCTTTTAGTTTAGAAATATGTGATTGGAGGGCAAAACACGTACCTTCGCATGATTCGCAATACTTTCTTGGTTCGGGCAATTTTCTTTCTTTCGGCTCATTGTTGTTTCTCTCTGCCCTTGGTGGAGGTGTGTAGGGCCTATCATCAGAAGCCTGTAGCGGACAATCTTCGGTTTCATGTTTGTCAAATTCATCGCAAATATCACAAAATACACGGGGCGCCGGTTTACGCTTGGCTATCAGGTCGAATGCATGTGGTCTATAAGTATAATAGTAAAGATAATTTCAAGTTAAGAGTGAATTATAGTCTTTGGGAAATTAACAGAAGCTCCTTAGATCTTGTTAACCAGTTTTGTTGTTAAAAATGTTTGGTATTGGCTAAAAATTAACCCACATATTTGTAGTCGATTAAGTCAAGTCAGATTGTCTGCTTGACTGGTCCGGAAAATAATTTTCGAAGCGAGTAGCCGATTTTGCTATAGCTCTAATCGTTGCAATATATAAATAAAATGATTACAATATTATGTTCGATGATATAGCTATCTTCACCACAATTCGTCACCCCAATATCTGTTCTGAGCTTGACTCCAGTGACCAATACATGGAATGTTGTGGGGTAGCGGTCAAGTGTGGAACCGTAAACGAGTACATTTATGAATTATGTTATTCCGTCCTATGTAACAATCGGAGGGACATAATGCTGACTGAGCACATTGATAGCTCGACGCATAATGGGGTTAGATCCTCAAAAACGGAGATTAATTCAGGGAATCATTCTATTTCTTTGAAATTTTGCTCAGACAATCATATTACCATTTCGGTATAGCCCCTTATAGCGTTACGTATTTATTTTCTTTTTTGAATGTTTTGACCACAATTTTAAGCCAAATCATGTGTAATTTGACATTTAGAGTACTAAGTAGATATAATTTCTCCTTGCTAAAAAACGTTAAGACTGCTCCGCTATTTGGTATAGAATCCATGTTACTGTACCTCCTAATTTTAGGAATTTTGAAAATATTTGAAGATATATTTTGTAATGATGGGTCCACTATTAGATATGGACCATATATAACGGCTTTCTCGAATGTTAAATATTTTAAGAATCTCTCAAAATTTTGTAGGTCCTAATTTTAGGTATATTAAGGGTTTCAGAAAGAGTTTTTTACAAACGTATTATTTGATTTTTGGCTTCTAAGTTGTTGTTTTATTCTTCTCAGTGGATAAACAGTACACAAATTGCCAATAATGTACCATCCATAACGTAGGTCTCCCAAAAAACAGAGATACATTCAAATGAAAGCAGTTTGTTGCTCCCATTCATTTGTTTTTACACCCTACAACATTATGTGTTGGGGGTATTATAAGTTTGATTGGGCCAAAAATTGTGTAACAGTGTAATATTGGTCTTCGACATAGGAAACTATATATGGATCTTCCTATCTCGCCGAGCTGAGTCGATCTACCTATGTATGTTCGTTCGTCCGTCTATCTATGTTAATTTGTAATCACTCTATAGGTAACTCATTCGTTTTTATATAGTTCAGATTTCCCACTAAAGAACAACTGGCTACTCTAATAGTTCCCGATGCAAAATGGGCAGGGTGGTACATATACTGAAGCCAGGCAATATTCAAATTGTTATTCATACAGACCGATATCACGTCATCACATGTCCGCTATCTACATGAGGAGGCTAGGATCTTACTAGTGCGGCGGCATAATAGTATGCATTCGATGTAATATAACCATCGCCATCCCAATCTCCATCTGGTGGATGGCAACTTCCGCGCAGGCAGAGGTACAGAGGCATAAGAGAGGCATGTGCATTAAACAGCACTCTGAAGCGGTCCTGTAGGAGATTATTATTTGATGCAATTAATCTGAATGGTGTTTTGCACGTGGCTTACATGACATCTACATCTTTTAACTGCTACATCTTTAACTTTTAACTGCCCAACCAGACCTACTCATCTAACTCGTGATACAGGCCCCAACCAATACAGCTCGCGAGATTAGAGAATAATCAGAACGAACACAGCAGTATGAGCTGCTACAACAACAACAACAAATAAATGATACAACTCGAAAATACCATTGAAACCGGTATGAACATTACCATCAACACAAAAACCAATATGATATAAATAGTTCAAACTTTATGATACATACTTGGTGTAGTCCATTGGCAATGCTTCTAATGCTTCAATCTTGGCCTTTAGTGTATCATTTTTCTTCTGCATATCAGCTATGATGGAGTTTAGAAAACTTATTTGAGCTGCACTGTCGCCATTTTCAGTATCCTAAAACGATTTAACACAAAACACACATGCATTACAAAATTAACACCAGATTTCCTGTAGCTTTCAAACTTACCCCCTGAACGGAACTTAATCCGCTACCATTTTGCTTCAGATTGCCAATGGACTGTAGATCACTAATACGCTGCTTCAGAGCTACTATCTCCTTGGTCTTTTCCATTTCGGTTACTTCCAATTTTCGTTGTAAGGTGGCACATTCGGTATGGAGATTTTGTTCTCTTTCCACAGCCTTCGACTGTTCCTCCCGCAATTGGACAATTTGTGCTTGTAACTGTTGCAGTTGATCATTTTTCTCAGTTGATGTGTCATCCATTTCGTCGATTATCTTCTTATACTCTTCGAGCTGTTGTTCAAATTCCTTTTGTTGTTTCAGCTTCTCCTCCATATCCGAGTGCAGCTTCTTTAGCTCTGCATTGGCTTGTTGCAACTCATTGAGTTGAGTCGACGTTTGGAGTACATTTGTTTGTGCCTCGTTAAGTGATGTTTGAGTTTGTTGCAGTGTCAAATTGCTTGTAGCTAAATGTTCTTCCTTCTCCCGTAGTTCGTCCTGCTTTGTGCGTAGCTGTTGCTGGGTAGTGGCAAGTTCTTCTTTTAAATGGGATAATTTCTCGATGAGTTTTTCAACATTTTGATCAGATTCCATTTCGAATATTTCAAATATATGGGCGGTTTCACATTTCTCTTGTTCGAGAATTTCCAGTGCTTCGGCTAGTTGGGCGTTTGTGGCGGATATGTTTTCATTGGATGTCTTCAAAGACGCGATCATGGACTTGAGTTCTTCTATCTTTCTGTTGCTATCTTCCACAATTTTGGCCTTGTGTTCCGATTCGGAGGAGGACAGTTCCAGGGCATTGCGAAGTTTTTGCAATTCCAAGTCTAGTTCGGACTTTGTATTCGATTGCAGAATGCGCAATTGCTCCGCCTCGCTGGTAGCTTTGATAACCAGCGAATCCTTGTCTTTTAGATCTTGCGTTAGTTTCTCTATGCTCTGCAAAAGTCTTGTATTCTCCTGCTGTAAATCACTAACGGCCGAGGAGCCATCATTTTGCGCCTTCTGTAAGTTCGAATACAGTTGGTCCTTTTCGATTTTAAGGGCTGCAATTTGCTTCTGCATATCACCCTCTTTGGCCTTGAAATCCAACTGTGACTTGAGCAACTCATCTTGTAGCAGCTGTATTTGTTTCTGAAGACTGGAAATTGCTTCATCCAATGTTGATTTTGATTGTTCGGAGTTTTTCAGTTGAGCCTCAAAGCTCTCAATGATAGATCTTTGTTTTGCCCCTTCCGCCTCCTTAAGTTCCCTAATTTCGGCTTGACACTTTGCCTCCAATTCCTTTTTAGCATTTTCAAAAGCTTCACTCTGTTCCTTTTTGGCGATTTCTAAGGTATTTAGTTGACTTCGAAGAGTCTCCAGTTCATGCTGCTGACTTTCTATACTTTGTTTAGCCTCTTGCAGTTGGGACTCTGCAGATAGACGCTCGTTGTTGGCCTTATCGGTGAGCTCCTGAAGTTGTTTCTGCCGCTGTGACAATTCCTCGGTAAGTTTTACGATTTCGGCATTCGATCCTGCGGATCCTTGGCGTAACGCCGCCAGATCGTTTTGCAAAGCTTTGTTTTGTTCTTCGAGACTTTCGCACTTGTTCACAAAACTATCAAGTTTGCGTTGCAGATCACCCATATCCAACTCCTGTTTGCCGCATTTTTCCTCGGCCTGTTTGAGTTGTTCGTAACGACTGAAGCTTTCTTCGGTCACATTCTTGAGTTCTTGGGTCAAGGTCTCCACTTGGCTACACATGCCATCGATTCTCTGTTGACTGGCCTGTAGTTGGCTTTCGAGTGCGGCGCGTTCTGTGCTTGACTTATCGACAAGTTCATCCAAAGCCTTTTGTTTGCTGACCAAGTCTTGCGATAGTTTCATGAGTTCTGTGTTCGAGTCTGTAGTCGATGTTCGCAGCGAAGTAAGGTCAGCCTGTAGTGATTCATTTTGTTTCACGAGTGAATCGAATTTGCTTTGCAGATTTTCTTGTTGGCGCTGTTGGTCACTCAGCAGGAGTTCCTGTTTGATGTTCTTCTCCTCCAGCTCGGTGATTTGTTGGGATTTTTTGTTGATTTCCTCTTTCGACTTGTGCAGCGACTCTTTTAGGTCGGTATAATCTTTAATGCTATTGGTAAGCTTCTGTTGTAATTCCTCAATCTGTCCCGTCAAACGGATGCGCTCCTCATTAGCTGAACTACTCAATGTGGCAATTTCATTTTGCTTCTGCTGAACTTCATCATTCAATTTCTTGACTTCGTTGTGAACCGAGGTGTTCGAAGATCTCACTGCAATAATCTCCTGCTGCAGTGTCTCATTCTGCTGGTCGAGGGCTTCGCATTTACTATTCGCACTCTCCAATTTGCGCTTGAGGTCGCCCAAATCCAGTTGTTGTTGGGCATAGCGTTCTTCACTCTTCTTTAGCTCGTCCTCCAACTCATGTTTGCGGTTTAGCACTGTTTCATGTTCGCTTTTGAGTTTCTCCAAAAGTTGTGTGGAAGTTTCCAAGGCAGTTGTTGTGGATTTAAGTTCGGATAACTTGGAAGCAATCAGTTCATCCTTTTGAATTGATTTTAAGCGCTGGTCCTCGATAGTGATGTTGGAGTTCTTTAAATCTTCTTCTAGTCTTTTATTTTGGCTTTCAATGTTGGTTATTTTGGCACTGAGTTGCTGTACGACCACCGACGACTCGCCAGCCAAAGAGGTAACTTTGTTTTGGAATTTTTCTATCTCTCCTTTCAGTTCTGTTATCTCTTGGTTTTTGGCCGCCACCACCAACTCATTGCTTTTATGAGCCTGTTCCAAATCATTTTGTAATTTTGCAATTGTTTCTTGGGCGGTTGCAAGAGAGGTCTTGATATCGGCTAGAAGGTTTTCTTTCTCAGACATTTGGCTGACATATGACTCGTTGACCGACTTTTCTTTATCGAAATCAGAAGAAAGCGTTTTTATTTGGGTCTGCAGTTGTTGATTCTCTGCTACTAATTTCTCACATTCTTGGCGTAAATCTTTCATGGTGTTCTCCAAAGCATCCATGGCAGTTTTCTTGGATTCATCCTCGGCAAGTGCTTCCTTAAGCTTGTCCTCGATACTACTTTGTATTTGCGCCAGCTTCTTGAGCTCATCGGTAGCTGTCTGCAAATTTGACTCCAGTGCGATTTTAACTTCCTGTAGCGTGGCAACTTCTTGCTTCAGCTTCGTTACTTCCATTGTCTTTTCCTCAAGTTTATTCTTCTCCTCGCTGCTTCCCATTTGTTGGGCTTTAACGAGCTCATCGAGTGTTGCACACTCCGCAGTCTTGATTGACAACTCTGCATGTAACTTGGCTAATTGGGCCGAAACATCGGCCACCTGTGTATCTCGTGATTTACACTCCTCACGCAGTATGCGACATTCATCCTCCAGATGGGCACGTTCACTTTCCACACTACTTACTGAGGATTTGAGATTCTTCATTTGTTCCAGCAAATTTTGAATCTCTTGAGATTTTTCCTCAAGTTTTAGTCCAAAGTCAGTTTGAAGTTGTGCGCGTTCTTTCTCCGACTCCTCCTTGACCATAGCCAACTCTTTGCGTAGATTTTCTATGCCACATTCCGAGAGAGAGAATTTTTCCAAAGATTGATCCTTTTCCACCAGTTCCGCCTGCAGTGTCTCATTTTGCTTCTTCAGATATTGGATATTTTCCTGCAGACGTTGTATCTCGTCTTGTGTCTCTGATATTTGGGTCTCAAAAACTTTTGACTGTTCGACAAGTTTTTCGTTCAGCTGCTCATTGCTCTCGTCAGCGACGTGTTTTCCTATCCACGGAAAAAGAATTTATTAGAATGTGAAAAAGGTTTTCTATTATTAATTGGAAATGCATACCCGATGAAAGATCCTTTATTTTCGTTTCCAACTCGTGAATTTTTTCCTTGTAAACTTGTGTTTGTGCCTGTCAAATGAAATATGCGTCAGATCTGGTGACATATATGTGTGTGCATCTGAAACTGAGACTTCGTGGTACACTGATTTTCCTTAGATTATTCTTCAAAAATGATTTTCAAAATATACCTCCATACAAGTCGCTGCCATTGGCCGAAATTCAAAAAATTAAAATCAGATATTTATTGTCAAATGTGTACACATGATCTCTTGAGGGGTTAAGCTTTTTAGAAAACATAATTATCATGGCTTCATCCTAACGGTCCACTTTGAGAATAGCATAAAAAAGAGATAATATTTTTAGTTTCTTTTTTCAGCGAGGTCTGTGCAAAAGTGGAGTGGAAATATAACTGTATTACAAAATTAAATACTTTTCAAAATGCCAAATCTTGGCATAATTACTGAAAAGTAAGGTATTGAATTATTTTTTGTGCAGTAATTTGTGTGTGTAGTAGTTGTGTATAATATAGAAGATGTGCGTGTTCTGAGTTGCCTTTAAGATTAATTTTGACATAAAATTGGCACTCAGTTAAAGTTTTAATTGTCTTTCCCTAGAATCCTCTAATGTGATTTTTTCACGCTATTGGTAATGGTCCTAAGATTCTAAAAGTGCTAATTTAACTCTCAGATTTTGTCAGGTGTGTATGTTATGCCCAAAATACTGATGTGACTTCGGCGCAATTTTGTCAGTTTTATGGTGCTAGTAACGTTTTTCTTGTTATGTGTTGTTTGTCTTATTGCTGTAGTGTTACAGTTTTGTTCTTCAGCACATTCTATGCGGGTCATAGCGAGTACAAACAGAAATTTGAAAATAATAATTGTGAAGATAGAAGTTTATTTGTAACATCATATGTCCCACTTCAACTTTTTATAAGCCCGGAAGCTTCGGAGAATAATAAAATAATTTGGAAAAATCCTCGGCCAACATCCTGTCGCTGCTATATGCCTATTAGGTACCAATTCAAAAAAGAGTCGACTCAATTATCCATTGAAGGAGAAAAGTACTTCAAAGACAAAATATACCAATTAAATCCTACAACTATTATCAGGGGAAATAAAATATTATACATTGATCATAAGTTACAGCTTACATCATCACTCAGACATCATCAGTTAAATGCTATATATGTAATGCAGGCCCAAAAGAAATTAATAACATTGAAGCCTGTTTTCTAGTCTTACAGACTAGAAATTATAAAATGTCAAATTATGTAAAACTTAGAAAAAAAAATCAATTCCAAAAAAGAAAAAATCCAATTGAAATTTCGAGAAGAAATCGGCTCATTTGTAGATAAGCCAAAAGTTGGAGGCAGTGGATCTTCCAACGACGGGAATACTGCGAGAGAATTTTTCAATAATGTGAGCTTTTCTGCGGAGATAACAGGGATTGACAAAGATGTTATTGAGAGGTGTTCAATATTGTTACAAGCATTGTCTTCTGGGTACAATATTAATGTCGAAAAATTTAAGGCCTTTGCACTGAAAACTGCTAAAGAGTTAACAAATAGACATCCATTGTACATCCACCTACAGTACATAAAATTTTAATACATGCACCCGACATTATAAAATATGCCACGGCATCGATTGGAAAATTATCGGAGGAGGCCGCGGAGTCTAGTTTCGACTAAATCATACCCGAAAACATTATCGTGTTCCAACAAATACATATCTTATTACCCATCTTCTTCTTCTGAGGCCCCCTGAAGACCGGCCGTTCCAAATAATTTTCAGTAAGATTACTCTTTAACACTTTAGAATGTAAACTGTCAAATAACAAAACAATCTGGTGTGGAAATGTGCCGAGAATTGGGCAAATAACTCTAATTCGGGAGGTACGTTGTAAGGCGACCATGCCCAAACATGCACCGACCATATCCATTTTGTCACATTTTTTTATTTTTATCCCATCAAGGTACCATAACCAAAGATTCATATTGATATCTGCACTGAAATTATTTTTTGCTGCTGTTCCCATATGACCTCAACCACTGTGCGATGGTCGAATGAAAGTGACCTATTTATTAAGTATGTGGCTTCGAGATAAAGGTTAGTTGCATTTTTTAAACATTTTCTAAGAGACATTCTTTTTGAGAGAAAAAAGAGATAGAGCAGTTTGATCAAATCTGAAGAACTAAAGCCTGAAGCTTTAAAATTACTGCTAACAAATCAAACAAGATATTTGGCATACTTTTTTAAATTTTAATAGACAAGATTGATCTTGATCTACATAGATTGATTGGTGGTCTACATAGATGCATGTCCGTCTTTCCCACTTTCCATATATTTTCGTTAGCAAAGTACAGATCTCATTTATTGTCCGCAGCTCAATCGTTTGGACCAAAGAAGAACCCTATTGAAATTGGCGAAAATCGGCTCAAATATGGATAAAGCTTTCATTAATAACTTCGTCCGATGGTTGAATTTTGGAACATACGATCGAATTCAATCAAGAAGCAGGTCAAATTTGATAACAATCGGTTCAGATTGTTTTAAATTTAGTTATACAAGGAAATACATATGGGAAGTATTTCCTTTTAATTTGATGTAAAAATCATGTTATGTTCGTCCTATTAGGTTAAATTTTTTATCACACGATTTAGTTCCGACTAGAACAGGGTCTTTCAATTTAGGTGAAAATCGGTTCAGATATAGCTCCCATATATGTCTTTCATCCGATGTCCTAAATAAGCTTTCGCAAAGTCATAATATGTACTCTTTAGCAATGGGATTTGCAGAGCAAAATATATTTAGGAGAAATTTTAGGAAAAAGGATTCAGATTAGGATATAGTTCCCATACATTAGTTGCACCCAAATTAAAATTTAGAACACTCTAATTCGTCTGAATAACCTCATACAAATTTAATGAGAGTTGGATGCTAATAATAATGCGAAATACTTTCTTTGAGTGTTTTGTTTTTCAAAATCTTGAACCCTATGTGGGGGAGGTTCTACAAGAAATGGTACGATCTCTACCATCTTTATATTATATATTGTGTTAATGGAAATATTGAGATGTACCAAGTCTGTATGGAATCGGATGTAAACTTCACTTCACTTCATGGGTATTCAATATGTTGACCTCTTGTGGGGAAGGTACCAGAAGGAGTGGACCGATATATTCCATCTTCACAGCAGATCTTGTATTAGTAGACATAATGGGATGTGTGAAATATGAAGAGAACTGGATGCATTTTTCGGATTTTATGATCGTTTTGGTTATTCAAAACTTTGACCCTTTGTGTGGGAGGTTCCAGAAGGAATGGTCCGATCTCAACCATATTTATAACACATCTTGTATTGATGGAAATATTGAGAATGGAATCGGATGTTAACTTTGCGTTTTATGAGCTTCGTGGTTATTCAAAACTTGGACCCTTTGTGGGGGAGGTACCAGTAGGAGTAGAACGATATATTCCATCTTCACATCACACCATGGGTTAATAAAGTGTATTGTGATGTGTGAAGACAATTGGACTTTTACATCACATTTTATAAGAGTTATAATTATTCAACATCTTTACCCTTTATGGGAAGATACTTGCTGGAATGGACGTATATTATTCATTTTCGCACCTGACCTAGCACTGATGCAAATATTAGGATTTGCAAAGTCGGAGCAAAATCGGATTATCTTTTCAATTTCTGTGCAGTAACATATTCTTTTTTAAAGTCGACCTTTTGTGGGTTGTACCAGAAAAAGTGGACCAATATTGCCCATCTCCGAACTCGATCTAAGTTTGTCAATAATATAACGACGTACCAAATCTGAATCAAATCGGATACTCCCATCGAGAGCTATCGTGAGCACCAGCCATTAATAGTATTTTAATAAAAGTAGTACTTTTGAAAATATATATGTAAAGTGTCGAGATTTAGTATTGGAGCGGTACTGTTATAAGGGTATTAAGGGTTATAAGGGTATTACTACTATAAGGGTATTACAACCAAATAAAAAAAAAAACATTTTAAGAAGTATCAGTCGGTTTTGCCAACAGATGTATATCCTCAGAAATTGTTAGTTAATTTAAATATATTTTGACATCCGTGGATAGTTTAAAATGTTGAACTTTTTTTTTTTTTCAAATAAAAATAAAAAATTGGAATTTGCAAATTATTCACATATATTTCCAGTATTTCGCATTTTATCATTCAAAATTTTGATCCATTTGTGAGGGAGATACCAGATCATATTCGCACCAGATCTTTTTTTAGAGTGGAAGCTTATTTCTCATTTTATAAAATTTATAATTATTTAAACTTTTGACCCTTTGTGAGGGTGAACCTGACCTGACCTAGCACTGATGCAAATATTGGATTTGATTTTTTCGTATTATTTCGATGAGGCAAGTTTTGGCCGTATCAAATGATATATACCCTCTGTAGCCATATGGCTTAGGGTATAAATTAAAAATAAATACTGAATATCGGGTGGCACAGTGATATGGGCCTATACGGAAACCTGTACCTGTATAAATAGGAGGTATCCCATTGAGAGCTCCAAATACCAACTCTGAAACCATTCCGGTAAAATATGTGCGGAATATAAAGGGGTACAGTTACATGAAGGATATACAACGACGTGGACCTGCGCATAAAATTGTCTGTCCCTGTAGGTGGTACCCATTACTTTAAAATACTTTAACTTTAATCAATTCCGTTAGAAATGTGACACAAAATATCAAACTACCAAATAGTTGGAGATATAGTTCCATGAGGGCTGTGTGAAGACGTAGAAGATGGTACCTATTGTAAACATCAAATACCAACTTTGAACCAAAAATTCTGTTGAATAATGTGGTTAAAATATTAATACTAAATATCGGCAGGTAACGCCTTATGGGGCCTATAAAAAACTCGGACCTACATGGCTTTTAATTTTTTTGCAAGCATGTTTTCAGTACAAAAATTTCTACAGAAAATTTTCTACATTTGAGTAAACGTACATGGCTAAATCGATATAGAATCTTTCGCTGATCAATATTCTCTGTAAACCCCACAAATGCTTATCTCGAGGAGGTACATATGAAATGGCAGCCTTAATATCCTCTACATAGTATGGCATAGGTTATAAAAATGTGATTTTATTTAGACTGAAAATGACTACATTTGTAAAAATTATTATTTTTTTAAATTCTTTGCTTTTGTTTGGTTGTATTGAAGACATGGACCTTGGGTATTTGGGTAATACGGCCATGTTCACAAATGTTTTAAATTTTTTCCATAGAGGGAAAGGTGCGAATAGACCCGTTTCTTTAAAAATATGAAAATGTCTTTAAATGACCACCTGAACTTACAAAACTTAACTGAAGATTTTTTAAAAATCACTGTACGAAAGCGTCAAAAATTCCTCAATTCACTCTGATTTACTGAATTTTTTGGTAAGAAGACAATATTCTGTAAAATGAGGTCTACATTTTTATGACTTTTTAATTTGTTTTGTTTCAAAGTTTCTTTTGAACTCCGAATTCGCAACTTCCAAAAAAAGTACCAAAACGGTTGATAAAAATTACAATGTTGGTAGAAACAGCTCATGTTCTACTCCAACATTCGATATTTTGACGTTTATTATTATACTCTCAGCCATATGACCAAAACGTGCCTCACCGAAATAACGGTTTTAGACCCTAGGTCTCTTTGGACCTAATCCGTTTCAGGACATTTGGAATCGATCTAGCGATGTCCATCCGTCCGTCTGTTTGTCTGACTGGCTGGCTGCTGCGCGCGATAACTCTCGAAGGGAGTATCCGATTTGGATCCAAACTTAGATCGAGGTCGAAGATGGGGAATGCAGCGCATAAAACGCGAAATTAACTTTCGATTCTATTCATACTTGGTATATCTCAAAATTTCTATCAATAAATGATCTGTTATGAAGATGGTAGAGATTGGACCATTTCTTTAAGATTTTCTGAAAATTATCACATAACCAATATAATCCAAACCTGGCACGTCGAAATATTTTTATCAAATTTATTTAGGTCCGATACGAAATGGACAATATTGGCCCATTCCTTTACTCCATAGAGGGTCAACAATTTGAATAATCATAACAGTGGCCATATCGACTGACACCTTTTAACTTGTTTTTAGTACTTTTTAGTATATTTTAGCATAAAAGTACTTCAAAATTATATCGAGGAATCTAATAGATCCAAAAATCCTGTAGTCAAAATCTGAAATCCTAAATATAAAAAAAACCTTTTAGATAAAACCTTATATTTATAACATCTAACCAAAATATATAAAGTAAACAATTCAAAACAATAACAACGACATACCCCCTGCATTACTTGTAAGTAAAAATATAATGAATTATTCCTTTAAAACTATACAAGGTAAAATAACCTACTTTTATAATATCAACCAACTACAAAACCTAAGGTCGCATGTTCGAATCTCCGTGCCCGCCAAGAAAATATGTAGATTTTTCCAATAGTATGTAACAATTAGTGATCGGAGCAGTGCCTGAATGCATGGTGGGTCCACCTAAATAGAACGGCTGCCTTTTGTAAGTACTTACTTTTCATGTTTCATTATTCATAAGGAGTTGGGAACCATGATTTGACGGAAGTAGATCGCTACTTATGAACTATAAGGAGCACTTCTGTAAATGTACATAGATATTCAACACCAATAACGGCAAACGAAAACCTACAAGAATCTACAACTTTTTCCTTTCAAAAACGTAGACGCGTGACTACAGACGGTTAATGCGGCCAAAATGTTTGTCTGGCTGGTTCACACGATAACTTTTCAAATTTTTATGAAAATGGAATTGGGGAAATATTTCCCTTCTGGTACCTCTACAAATGGTAAAAATTAACAAAATACGCGACATTTCATTAAAACATGGCACACTGTAATATTTTAACATGGTTGCAGAGTAGGATTTGTATAATTTGGCGTAAGCCGAAAAAAAAAAAATATTATTTATTATTTAGTTTTCCCTATTCGAGTTTTCTAATTTTGTCGTTATCCTACATGCAATGATTCTTGATAGACTAACCATATTTGTAGATAAAGGAGGAGTACACATCATTGGCAAATGAATTTAATTGTGAAAATTTGTCAAACAGACAATTGCCTCCACCGGAAAGGTATTTCATGTTTTTCGTAACCTTTCGATTTTGAGTATGGCTAAGGATTCAGGTTTCATTCTAGCAAAATATCTTGATTGAAGAATTTGAAATGGTATCGTTCCATTTATAGGTATGTCGAAGGTAATACGTGTTTGCATTAATTTATTGTCGTTTGTATTATTTTTTGTTTTCGCGTTCTTTAAAGGCGAATTAGTTCTTTCTTACGAGAAATCTTGGGCGAATGCAAAGTCTAAGTCCATTCAGACTCAAATCTTGCTTTGTATAAGATATATATATATATATTTAAAAAATTATAAATTAATTAATTTGTCGGTCCAAATGTCGACTGGGTCGAAAAATGTTATGTCGAAAGTATCCAACTTACCTCAAATTCACCAATCAAATTAAAAATAGCATTGCATTTATCCGGCGTAAAAGATGAGGCATAAATTAATAGTTTGATTTTAATTGAATTAAATTTTATGAAATAAATTTAATAACTCATTAAGAAATTATAAATTTTTTGGAACCAATATTTCTAAATTAAATGTATGGGACTGCAAAATGCCTTTTTATACCCTCAGCCATATGGCTAGAAGAGGTGTATATCATTTGATACGCCCAAAACGTACCTCATCGAAATAACGATTTTAGACTCTAGGTCTCTTTGGATCAAATCCGTTTCGGGACATTAGGAGTCAAGCTATCGATATCCGTCCGTCTGTCCGAAGGGAGTATCCGATTTGGTCCAAAATGGGTACATCATAATATTATTATCAAACTTAGATCGAGTTCGGAGATGGGCAATATTGGTCCACTCCTTCTGGTAACTTCCCAAAAAAAGTCGAAGTTAAAAAAATACTGCACAGAAAAAGAAAGGATGATTCGATTTTGCTCCAACTTTCCAAGTCCCAAAATTTTCATCAGTGCTACGTCTGGTGCAATATTTTTTTATTGGTCCACTCCATCAAGTACGTCCCCCACAAAGGTTCAACATTTTGAATAATTATAACTCTTATAAAATGTGATGTAAGAGTCCGATTGTCTTCAAATTACACATTCACAATATTTTAATTAACCCAAGGTCTGGTGAGAAGATGGAATATATCGGTCTACTTCTTCTGATACCGCCCTCAAAAAGGGTCAAACTTGTGAGTATCATAAACACGAAATTAACATCCGATTCCTTTCAGACTTGGCACATCTCAATATTTCTATTAACACAAGATCTATTATGGTATAGACAATTTCTTTTGGTACCTCCCCCACATCGGGTTCAAGATTTAGAAAAACAAAACGCTCGAAGAAAGCGATACAAGCATCCAACTCACTTTAAATTTCACACATCGTAACATTTTTGCTAACGCAAGATCTGTTATGAAGATGATATATATCTGCCAACCAAAAGTATCCTTTACAATCAGTGGGATGCCCAATGTATGTCTACATAGAATACGGCTCCAGATATTGCTTATGCAAATGCTAACCTAGAAGTTGCTCGATAAGCCATGATTTCGGAAGGGATGGTCTAAATACATGCGTCTTGGTCAACAAGAGTGCCAACTCCAAACAGGCTAAGGATAAGAAATCAAAATCAAAAAAGAAGGCCAATAAGGCGGTGTGAGTGAAAGTATTTCTATACTTTTTAAGAGAGAGTCTCGAACAAATTTCGAACGACTCTAACATCAGTTATTAAATCGTTTCCATTTGATCGATATATTGTTTATAAATTTCGATCAATGTTTTTTTTTTTTTTGGTATTGAATGCGAGAAGTTGGTCCTAATTCGACCGACTGTCTGGTAACTCTCGAGTGAAGTTGTCGACTTGGTTTAAAATTTTAGCAATGCCATCTATCATATCATCTTCAAAGATAAACTTAGGACTGCCCTTTCATAAAAAAACCAAAAAGCTCATAGAACGCGAAGAAAGTTCCATTTTTATACTAGCAGTTTTATCACTACATTGGGTATATATAATATATATATATATGTCTTTTTGGAATGAACTTTGTTTCGGAACAGTCAGGTCGATGTCTCTTCGTCTGCCTGGCCCAAAATCTCTACAACGTAATATCATCAAATTCAGATCGAGTTCGAACTGGGGCCTGTCCTATAGCATTTTACAGTTCTCAGATAATTATTAATTTCATAGAAAGCACAATCTCTGTCATATATAGCTAAGGAGGGAAAATTGAAAAATTCGGTGGACGACATACGGGACACCTCCGCCAACTTTTAAAATTACATAAATTTAGTTAGGATCAATGTGTCCCATCATTAATCATTTATTACATTGAAATCGAAAGGGATTATTATATTAGACCTAGGTAAGGTGGGAAAATAGTTTCGGTTCATTCCGGCTTCCCCCACAAAAGACCAAAAAGAAGTATAAATAACAAGTGTAAAGATGGGATGGGTCTATCCCATTGATACATCCCATAGAAATGGTCATTCTTATACCCTCCACTACTCTGTGGTTAGAGTATTGTGTCTTTGTGCATTTGTTTGTAACATGGAGAAGGAAACGAGATAGACCCATAGTCACTATTAAGGATGCTCGTAGAATCACTCTTTGAGTCGATTCATAGATATCCGTCTGTCTGTCTGTCATTGCATTTTTGCGAACGAAGTACAGGTCGCATTTATTGCTCGATTGAGATAAAAATTTGCACAAATCTTTTATTTGACCCAAGGACAACCCTTATTGAGAGTGGGATTGTCCCCACTCAATATCTAGATATAGCTCCCATATATATCTTCGTCCGAGTTGTTTTATATTGTGCACCAGATGTGTAATATTAGACCAAATAGAATGGGATTCGGCACATGCAATCCAAGCAAGTGTGTCAAATTAGCATAAAATCGGTTCAGATACAGCTATAGCTTCCATATATATTGTTCATCCGATTTGGTATTTTTCAAAGATATTCGGGAAATATATCAAATGCAGCTCAGAAATACCTTTGCAAAATTAATTGAGATCGTTTCAGATTTGGATAAAGCTCCCATACATATCTTTATCCGATTTCAGGTTTAACAATGGGTGATGTCCGTCCAAATGAAATAGATTAGGGCTCATACGAACGTATTTAAAGGAAGAGGGTGTGTCAAATTTGGTGAAAATCGGTTCAGATATTCCTATAGGTCTCATATATATTAATATCCGATTTTGTATTTTAGTCCCTCACATCCGTTAAAAAAATGAACTGGCTGTGAAGGGTCTAACTTCTCCTTACAAACGAAAACAATGTGATTTCGTCTAAACATCAGACATCATAATTATTGTATCAGACTTAGATTAGGCGTAAAAATGTACAATATCGATCACACTTACGGTACCGGTCGAAATTATTATTACCAACACTAAACAAAATTCGGTAAAACTGAAGTTAACATTTTAACTAGTTTTTCGAAACGTTGTTCATCGATATGTTATTCGTGGAAGCTAATCCTAACTTTACAGAAGAGGGAAGAATGATTTTTATCCTACTTGTTATTTTTTTTTTAATTATATTCTCCACCATTCTATGGAGGGTATATTAGCTTTGTCATTCCATTTATAACCTACAAAGTACATATATTCTGGGTCAGCGTAAAATTCTAAGACGATTTAGCGATGTCCGTCTGTCTGCCGGTCTGCCTGTTCTAATCACGCTATCTAGAAGGCTAACATTTTGCACACATGTGTATTTTCCAGTAGGCAGGTTAAGTTCGTAAATTGGCCAAGTCGGTCCACGTTTTTGTATAGCCTCCATATAACGGTACCTCCCGATATTCAAATTTCGTATTCGAAGTTTGTAATTGGTACTACGGTCTAGGTCTATATAAAAAATCCTATGCATCTTCCCGTTTTCGGTTAGCCCTCATATAACAGTAACTCCCATTATTCGGTATTTTGATGATTTTAGCGACATTATTGGCCGGAATTGTTTCAAATTTCGTGTTTGAATATCTTAATGGGTACTACAGCCTTTGACAAAAATTACTTATTCAGGTCCACGACTTTGTATATCCCTCTATAAAGGCCAGTACATGATATTTTTCGGAATCCGTTGACATTTTTCTAGTTCCTTTTAAATGGTGGAGGGTATTAAAAGTTCGGACCGGTCGAACTTAGTTGCTGCTTTACTTGTTTTTTATCGTTGGTGTCTCTCTGTAATAAAGTAACGGTATGGACGTTTTTGGGCTACTGATTCGGTGGAAACCCCTCAAACTAAACATATACCCCTACGGAGAGGGAAATTTGTCGTATATTTTACAAAACTTTACGATATAGAATACAATACGTTCTTGCTTGACTCATATGGCAGAACCAAATTATGTTGATTTTGAAAGCGTGGAAATTTCGTTTTAAAATAATTTTAGTTTTAAAAATGTTGTTATTCTCAAATTGAATGCACAAAATACCTAGTATCAATCAATCAGTGTACCAAACGAAGTTTCAATTCCAAATATAATTCGATTTTCAGAATAAGAGAAAAAATACCCTTACATTTAATTCATCGCCACAGAAGGTGGCCTCATCAATCGAGAACTGCAGGTCTTCCGCTTTCTTGCGTTCCTCGCTCAATTGGCGTTCCAACAGAGCTATTCGCGTTTTCAACTAAGCCCCCGAGTGTCCAAAGAATGTTTGCATGCGGAAGAAGAAACGAGAAAATGAAGGAGATGAGATTAATAGCAGATTAATAAAACTACAAAAAACGGCAACATTTTGTGCATTTTTCTCATATTGATTATATTTATTTTTGTTGTTTTAATAATATAGATACAAATACATACATACAATGATATTGATAACATTTACAAATACAAAAGTAATATAGTTAATTTCTAGTTATAACAAAAGCAATAAAATTCGCTTAGATCGTGGTGTGCATAAATGATTGTTGTTTGTTTTGTTTTTGTCGTTTTTTGGGTGATGGCTCTCCATCCATCCGTCCGTCCGTCCGATGATACTGGCATAGCCGGGCGGACAGTAACAAAATAAAATAGTAATGAAAAATATATAATAATAAAAAAAACAAATGGTCTTAATTTACATTCTTTCTGAAAAAAAGAAAAAATTAATAAAAGGGGGAAGAGAGGAAAACATTTTTGGGCTTTTTCCAGGTTTCCTTCATTCGTTAAATGGTCGAGGAATTTGGATTTTTGGCATAAAATATAAGCTTTAGATTTTCACAGAATTTTTGTTTTCGAAAAAACTAGGTGGATACATTTTTTTTAAATAAATCTGCATGTGAAGATCATTAGTTTGTTGCTGTTGGTGTTTTTTGTTGTTGTCATCATCGATCTTGTTTGAGCACTAGGCGTAGAAAAAATCAAGAGGTACAGATTGGTCTACTTCGTCAGCACATATTTCATTCTCAGTTGTGTATATGTGTGTGCGCGTGTGAGTGAGTGTGATTTGTAGGACAATTATTATTCTCTTTGATATACGTTTCGGACAAAACCATGTCCACCATCGTCGTTTTGTTGTAGGAAAAGGACAAGCATTGCGATTGTCTTTCTATGTGTCTTCATAGATCATCTGCGAGGCAGCTGTTTACTTAATACGTAAAGGAGACAGTACACTATGAAGGATGCAGTGCTTCTCGTGGTTGCCAGTCCAGCCGCGGAATTCCCGACGCAGATCGGCCAAACGGAAGCTACGGCGTGCGATAAGTCTCACCCAACGATCGGCGTCGCTAAGCAATTTCTAAAGAAGATTTGACAAAAAATGTGAACTTGTAACCAATTGAGAAATGAGGCAAAACAAAAGAAGAAAATTTGGTCGGTTTGGTTGAAACAGCATAAAATAAAAAAAGAGAGGGCAATCACATAAATGCCATCGTACATACATACATACACAGGTTTGCTGTTTTAGCTAAAAAGGATGAAAGTTTTTGAAATTTTCAAGTTGATGGAATAATAATAAATTCAATAGATTTTTTACAGAAAAGAAAAACGGTCGCTTTTCCGTTTTAGAGAGTCAACAATTGTGTCTTGAGGGACTTTTATTTTAAAATCGATTTAAAATTGAATTATTTTGTTGGATCCTAAATAAAACTGTTCTATGAAATAACAGTAATTTTGATTGAAATATGAAGAAAACGCATACATAAAATATAAAAATTATTTAAATCATTTGAAGAAAAATGAGTTACATAACTTTAAATGTCGACTAAAACAACGAACTAACAAACAAACGTTGCGTTATGGTCATCTAATTTAACTCCTATTTCTGCACCCGATACTCTCAGAATAGACTAATTTTTGCTAATCTGAATTTGCTCTACAGTGAAATTTGGATTTAATTGCTTTATCATTTAACAATTTCAAATTGTTTCAAAGTTTTGAAATTTACAATATCCAGCTTCTGTTTACACTCCGAATGCATACGTTTTCACACTCGGTTGAAGGTAGCAACAATTGGTGTGTTTTTTTTCTGTCGGCATCGAAAATAATTCAAACGAGAATTCAACCAATACATAGAAACAATGACAAATAGATGGGCCCAAGTAAATGTGCACTAATAAATGAAATGACTCATCCGTCAGCACTTTTAGACAGGGGAAATTACAAATATCATCAGGTGGAAAATTTTTAACACATGGCTATTTTAATATTCCAACAAATGACCTTGAATACAATTTCAGCTATTTAAATATGAAATTTTTCCCATTGAACAATTGCTCAAAGCTATCACGAACTGTTGGGAAATGGAATTTCATTATGAAGTTTTTCTCACAATAGAAAATTTACAACTCATAGGTATGATAGCTTTAGGGTAGATCAATTTGGGCAGATCAACAAAAAAATAAGAACTAAAGTTGTTCTTCGTTTTTCGCACTTTCCATAAATTTAAAACGAAACATAAACCATGATAACGAGATTCTGTTTCCTGTTTCGTACTGTTTATATTATTATCAGGAATATTTATACTCCTAAAATTCTGCAAAAGTGAAATTATAAAATTCTTTTGATAGTCCTTCTGATAGTTTTCCAATTCCTGCCGGTAAATTGTCTTTCTTCGACAATTAACCGTTTTTTAATTATTTGATCCGTTTGATCCGATACAATGGATTTGTAACTTACACGGCTTTATTTTATATAGGACAAAAAACGCCCACATATCCCAATGGAACAATGAGGGTGGAGGGAAAACCACAAAAATCCAATGAGATAAAAACGAAGAATCTTTTATTGCTAGGGAAAAGGAGATCAGTGAGGTAACAGGCATCCTTACAGGGAACCTGGGCCTACAAGCTCATCTGTACAAGATAGGATGTGCAGATAACAGCATATGCAGGGCATGCGGGGAAGATGACGAAACATTGGAAAATTTTCTCTGCCAATGCCCAGCGTTTGCAAATATTAGACCCCAATTCTTGGGGAACGACTCCATACCACACCTTAATCACATCATGGTAAATGATATAAAACAGTTAAGAAATTTCATAAAGGCAACTGAATTTTAAATATAACAGACTGTAAACTGCCCGTCTTCTTTCGAAAAAAACCCTTAGTCTACAGCACACAACAGGTCTTACTGGCTTAAGTGTATGCCCAACAGGGCATGCGGTGAATTGTTTCGCCCCTCTTTTCAACCTAACCTAACCTTATTTTATATATAAATTATGGCGCCTAATGGTAGTATAAAAATAAATACTAAAAAATATAGACTTAAAAATAGAAATGTATCAGCGTTTTGAAAATTTACATCATAAAATAACCTAAATAGAGTAAATGTTCACCCCTCTTTCATTTTTTTTAAATACTCGGATTAAGAGTCCTTGGAGCCGCTGAATTTTAGATATATGTATTATGTCATCGGCAATATTGCTGATAACAATGATAGGATTATTTTGATCTAACATTTTAATCTTCAAGCGAGTCAGCAATACGGGGCGGGGGAGAGGATATGAGTGGTAGAAGATTTCAAATTCCTGAAGTTAATTTTTTTTCGACAAGCAGATGTTTTTTTTTTTTTTTTTTTTTTTTTAATAATCGTTTGATTTGTTTCTTGTTCATGCTTTGTGTTTTAGTTTGGCAATCAGCTGATTGCTGGAAGATGCTCTCAGGGCGCATCTATTTACTTTTTAGAGAATAATGCTACCTTAATTTCTAAAAAAAGCATTTGATGCGCGTTTCAGATGTGAAACACTTAAACTTCGTGTTTTAAATAATTTATATGTAATATTTTTTAATAAAAAATGTACACAATATTGTTGTCGTGTGATTGCTGAGAGCAATTGGAGAAAGAGAGGGTGAGAGAGAGAGCAGTTGAGTAACTAAGACTTTATTAGTTCTTACTTTGATCATTCGAATTTTAAGCAGTATTCTAAATTGAATATTTGAATTATTTTTCAGATAATATGCATTCTCCACTATTTTTACAACATGCCTCATATGTAAGCAAAAAAAATTCTTCTTCGGTTTTCTCATATTATCAAAATGAGACGGACATATTTTGGATAACAGCAGCAGCACACCTGTCCGGGAAAGTAATCATTTAAGACATTTTTGTATTTGTATTTAAATTTTTCTTAAAACAATATTAAACCTGTAGAGGGATTCTGTAACACATTTTTTGAGTTACCGACAAATATCGGTAGAATTGAAATGCAAAATTTTGAATGAAAAGAGATTTTGATAATAAAGTTGACAGCACTGTTGCTATCAATAGGAGTTAGCGACTATTTTCTTTTGGTCGCTAACTTGACAACATTTTTCTTTAATATTGAAAGTATAAGCATTTAAATTTTAACGATTTTTGTCGGTAACTTAAAACATACCTTTTATTTTGTAGTTTGGACAAAACGTATTGTAAATATGTGTGACCCATGAATTTAAAAGAGTCGAATGCTTGATGCCTCCACAAAAAATCTGAGCTTTTTAAATTTTTTTCGTTCTTTCTCGAATTTTGTTAACTCAAATCAAATGCATAGCGCGTCAATTGGTGACCTCCTAGTCATTGGCATTTCCAGTTGAAATCTTCCCAGACATATAAGGATTTCGTGTTTACTCCTTTAGGAAAACAGGGTGAACATTAAAAAGAAGAAGATCAAAAGTTTGAACCTGATACCTTGGAATTTAGTTCAAGGCTTGAAATCCCTAGACAATCCGGATATATCCTCAATTATATTACCACCATTGATTCAGCCTAATCTTGATAAGAAATAAAATTCAACAATGTCGAATGGAAACAATACACTTTATTCGAAGAATTACAATTGCCAAATCATTGTTCGGCATTACAAACAAAACTCATATGCAATTAACTTAACACATGCAATTAACAATTATGTTAATTAGATTGTTGTTGTTATTGGTGTATGTGTGCTTATGTAGATGGTGTTAGCATCATTGAATTAGTAAATGAATAAAACACAACAACAAATTTAATTAATTATTTAAAGTGAGGAAATTATTTGTGTACGAAAGAGAAAAATTAATAAAGACAGAGGAGTTCGAAATACTGCAATCCTTGGATGTTGTTAGACTAACGTTTTGAATAATATTCTGGGGGAAATCATAAAATATGAATTTGATGGGAATATTTCATACTGGAGAATGTTTGTAAAAAGAAAGTTGATTTGATTCACCAATTATTTGCTATTCAGTCTGCAGAAAAACTTAGGTGGTCTGCAAAATTTCTAATCCAATTAAAAAAGTGAAAAAGTCAAGATTTTGTGAAATTATGCAAAATGTGAAAAAGAATAGAGAACAAGTATTGTGTCGGTATGTAATGGGAAGTTCGACACATCAAAATCATAGGCTAGAACAGTGCTGCTCAAAACATTAGCTACCGCATATTATTTGAATTGTAATACCAATGGATTGGAACATTACCACTTGACCAATAGAAATTCAGTTCCGATGCCGTTGTATATGTAACTGTTTTGTATTGCCAGCCAATATCAGCTGTAAATGTTTTAAGCCGCCAAACTATTCGAAGTGAAAAAATATTAGCAGTAAGATACATAAAACATAAAATGATCCCACATTGTCCTTTGTGTCGTCAAGGTTATATTCGGTGTGAATGTGTACGTATGTATGTATGTATGATGGAAATGCCTCATGGAGAAAACACCTTAGAGGTAGGTGCAATTTAATTGTGGTATTTGCCAGGTGATGGATCGATCTTCATCGAATAACGTTTGAAGTCATTCAACACAAATCGCTATCACGCTTTAAATTAGAATACAAGAACACAAAACGAAAGAAAACAAAAAAACTGAGAACGGAATTAACAAATCTTAAAATAATGTTTTCGTTGACAAGCCACGTGGAAAATAAAGTCTCTCTTTGTCGCTAAACCAAACTTTCTTTTTCGTTGCCACCGGTGATGAGGTCAAGGAACGCGAGGGCGAACGTTCGACCAATGTTGTGTTCTTTGAAATCGGTGCTGGCTGTTGTTTCGTGGAGAGCACACCGAACGGACGCCGCATTGCCATCAGGGACGATGGTGTCGGTGGTGGATATGTTATATCACTGAATATATTTACCTCATTGATATTCTTCTGGTACTGGAATGCCTGATTCTGTGAATCCTCACGATCCAAGTCGCGTTCGATCATCAATTGTTCAATGTGTTGTTGTTTCTCGCGCAAAATATCCTATAAAGAGTATATATTTAAAAAATAGGGGAAAAGTAGAATTGTAGAAATGTATACACGTAGGGTACAACAAAATTAAAGTTTTTTTATTCGATATATTCCATTATAACCCCAACAATATTATCAAAACCAAAATAAAAATCAAAACTTTGAAATATGCAGATAGTTTTGTATGAGGGCTTATTCTCTATGCAGAAAGTGAATGGTCAAAATACCAGAAAGCGTGCTTTTGGCTCGTTCTTTTAACAAAAAATTAACATGCTTCCAAAAAAAAAAAAACAAAAAAAAAATGAAAATGGATATTCAAAAAACTTTGTGAATTTAAGATTCTTTGGACCACTTGAAAAACTAAAATTTTTACTACTACAATTGTATTACATTATCTCTCGAACACGGCTGCCTCATTTTTGAGTCTTTATCTGATGACACTTTGATTTCAAATTTCGCATCTCCAAAGTACCATGAAAATGCAAAAATAAAAAAAGCGCTAACAGCCCCTTAGAAAGGTTTATAGATGTATACATGCAATACAATGGATACAATGCCATTAATTGAAGTCGGTTTAATTTAGCTTTTGCCAACATCGAAAAATTAAAGTCAATTTGAGGACCATGTGATACCCTACAACAATATTATGGTTAAGTTATGGTAAAAGTTATGTACATGTAATGCCCTTGAAATAGAATGAACGAATTCCTTAAGATAGTGGGATACACAATTGAACTACATTAAAAACTATTCCAAAAAATAATGTTCGTCATGAGAATATTGATTTGTAGGGTTTGCACGCGATATTTCCAAATTAAGACCAGTAAGGAATAGTCAAAAGTCGGTCGGGGTCGACTATAAGATACCCTACACCACTATGCATATTTAGTAGAGCTCCCGTAACAAAAGAATTTATTTCAAGTAGATCATACCACCTGTCAACATTTGGCTTTAGAACAGTTATAGTGCACTCCATAGCACGATATAATAAAAAAATATATATCGGAGCCAATATCACTCTATATGGGCTGATATTAGCCATTATTTGCACAATAAACCTGAAATTGGATTGAGGATATATATGGGAGCTATATCCAAATCTTCGCCGTTCTCGATAAAATTTCGCAAAGGTATTTCAGAGCTCTAAAGATATATATGGAAGATATATCCAATCTGAACCGATCTCGATAAAACTTAACAGAGGTACTTTCGAAGCAGTATCTTATAACCGGTACCAAATATCATTCTTCTGGAGCGCATATTACGTATGTGAGGGACTTAAAACCCCAAATCGTATGAAACATTTGATTTACTTGCTTCTAGATTGAATTCGATGAGATGCACCAAAATACAGGTCATTTTGACTTATATTAGCCAATTAACCCGAAAAAAGAGTTTTTGACAGAAACGCGGCGATTGAACATATGTCAAGCCTATTATAATTGTTAATGCCCGCAGCCTTCTGTTTGGTCACAGGATTAAAGCTAGCTACAATAAATGCAGTTGTTTTTATAGAAATAACGGTTTTGCAACAACAAAACACAGGTGCTCAATTCTTGTTCTTCTGAAATGAAACCTTTAATAAAGGCGACAAATGTCAAATGAAAAAATATTCTCTATTCATATTCAAAGAATAAAAATCCAGCCTTGGGTTTTAATGTTTCCGATGTAACTTTGACAGGTTTTGAAAATTTACACAAGGTGATCAGCGAGTTTCGATAATACGACCTAAATGTTTATCAACCAACTTTGGATGTATTATGTGGGATGTAACAATATTTAGGACGTTTTATACTTTTTCTACAGATGTATGACGTTTTCGACGTTTACAACTTTTCGACAGTTGAAAAACAAAACTGTGAAACAGACCATCTCTGTCCACGGTCCATTTCATCAATGAAATAATGTCACAGAGACATTCAAAATGGTTAACCTAGTTTTTGGCCGGAGACAAGAGACCATGCAACTTGCATGGTTCGTTGCATTCGCCCTCTATTTACGCCCTCCATCGCTATTTAAAACTGTATTTGAAAATTTCAGAGCTGTGCTTAAAATTGATTGTTCGGTATCGTAGTATAATGATAATTCTACATTTTCGATTTAGCGATCATTTTCTGTCGATTTTTCTTTCCCACGCAATCAAAAAAATTATGCAACAATTAATGTTCTTAGTGTTGATTTTCTGCTCAGTTTATAATACCCACCTCAAAACCAAAAGAAACTCCTATCAATTTCTACGACTTGGGGTTGAGAAAAAAAGTCAACAGAAAACCCTATTTTTGGTATATATTAAAAGATCCAAAAGCAAATTTAGCTATCGACCATGTATTGCGAATATCGACTTTCTCATATCTAATAATACAATATTGGGTAGTCTTCAACTTCGGTGAAGGTTATATAAATATTAAGGCCAAAGGGCGCTAATGGGATTTGGTCCTAATAAATCAATGGACTGAGCGAAAGGCTGGATTCATTTGAGCTAATACATAGTATGGAGGGTATATTAAGTTGGTCATTCCGTTTGTAACTCTTCGAAATAATCATTTTAGACATATCAAAGTACATATATTCTTGATCGGCGTAAAATTCTAAGACGATTTAGCCCTGTCCGTCCGTCCGTCTGGTGTAATAACGCTAGAGTCTAAACGAATAAGATAGGAAATTTTGCACAGATCAGTCTTTTATCTGCAGGCAGGTCAAGTTCGAAGATGGGGTATATCGGTCCACGATATCGTATAGCCCCCATACAACGGTGCCCCCGATATTCGGTATTTTGATGGTTTTAGCCACATTTTTCAATAAAATTGTCTGAAAATCCACATAAGTAATACCTTCTGAGTACTTCATCCCCTGGAAGATTATTGTCTATATAGGTCCACGATATCGTTTATCCCCAATATAACGGTACCTCCCTATATTCGGTATTGTGATGATTTCAGCAACATTTTTCAGTGGAATTGTGTAAAAATCCATGCTAGAAGTTCTGTCCAAGCACCTTATCCCTGGAAGAGAAAAAACTATATAGGTTCAAGATATCGTATAGCCCACATAAAACGGTGCTCCCCCTGATGTTAGATATTTGGCGATTTTAGGGACGTTATTTACCGGAGTTGTTTCAAATTGCGTACCTAGAATTCGTAATGTGTACTATAGCCTATGACAAAAAATTATGCAAGGGCCACGTCTTCGTATAGCCTCCATATAATGGTACATTCAAATATTCGGTATTTTGATGATTTTAGCGACATCATTCACTGTTTGTTGTTTTTTCGTATTTAGAGTTCGTAATGGGAACTATAGACATGACTCTATGCAGGTCCAGGCCTTCGTACAAGCCCCATATATAAGTACCTCCCTATATTCGGTATTTTGATGATTTTAGCTACATTATTCACAGGATTTTTTTCAAGTTTCGTATTTGAATATTGTAATTGCTTATGACAAAACTTGCCTATACATGTCCACGTCTTCGTATAAATCCCAATATAACGGCTATATTCGGTATTTTTAAGATTTTAACAGAATTGTTGGCAAATGTTATTTTTTTTTAAATTTACAAATTCGTTCCAAATGGTGGAGGGTATTCAAAATTCGCCCGGCCTAACTTACTGCTTTTTTACTTGTTTTTTTTTTTTTTTTTTTTTTTTTTAAGTAATAATAATACGACGTCCAGACACTATTCGATTTTTTTGTATATACATATTTAGTCGAAAGTAGTTAGGAAAGAAAATTTGACCATTCACAATCTACATCTCAGAGATTATAAAACAATTTCAAAATTAGTGTACATATGTATGTATATAATTATATATAAAAAAGAAGAATAATAAAAAATCACTTACATTAGCCATATTTCCATGCATAAGGAAAGGGTTATTTTAAAACTCAAATAAAAAATAACAAAAGCTTCCCGTAGAAAAAGAAACCGATAAAAAAGTGGGGTTTAGAATAAAACAAACATAAAGGAGAAACGAAAACCAAAATATAAAACATGTTACAGAATAGAAAATAAAACAAAAGCGTGCAAAATAACAGAAAACATTTTGGAATTTTGTTGTCGTTTTTTTTATTTTAGAAAATCCATAAAACTTAGCTTTATTTACAGAAAAAAAAAAATAAAAAGTTCATCCAAAAACAAGAAATATTTGTAGGTAAATATATAATAAACGAACATAATAATAATGATAGTTTACAATAGAGAATATACAATTTTAATAAATTAATGGCAGGGGTCTTAAAGGAAAAACGTTGAAGGAAAATATAGTGTAGGATTGTTGCTTTTTTGTGTATATTAAATTATTGGGTTAATTTGAATGACAAGAAGTTTTTTTTATAAAAATATGAATATAATTGATGGAGTGGTGAGTTAGTTTAAACTTTAAAAAAATATACGGTGTTATTGTGTTTTATAAGCAGCTAAAAAAATTAATATGTTATGCTACACAAGGCTAAAAAAGCTAAAAAACTAAAAAAATGGCCCTGTTCAGAATGTATTCATTGCCACAACTCTTAGGAAGACGTCTTACCAATTATATAGTTCCAGAATCAGCCAGAATTAGCAATTTTATTCAATTTTATCAACTTGACTTTGGAAATTTGAAAAGTTTATTTTTTTGTTTGTGCTTTAGCCTCCTTCTCCCTGAGACTACAATCTCAGTTTTAATAAAATACAACGGGAATATTTTTTCCGGAATAAATACGTCGCGACGAAATAGTGAGATGCAATCTATATTAATAAAAGAGTAAAGTTATTGACTGACTGGCTTAAATGTTCCTCCACGCCCAGACGAAACGGTTGAAGCTAGAATCTTGACCCTCACTCTTGGTCTGAAGGGGTCAGAAAAGTCCGGGTTTTTTGGAAATTCGTACTAGAACTGTACAAAAAGTATTACAAGGTACTAAATATGGTACGCTTTGTATTTGCGGAAACAGTAGAGCTAGAACTCTAAAATTTAGAATGAGCGTCACTGATAGAGTGTATGATAGATATGCCAAAGAGTTTCTGGGAATTCGTACTATAAGTGTGCGAAAAAAAATGTACTACATTTGGTACTATTTCGTATTATATGAACGGTTAAGCTAAAAACTTAAAACTTGGAATCGGAATCAATGTTGGGAGTAGAATCAATGTAAGGAAGTAATTTTGGAACCGTGTAATCATTTATACGAAAAGTACTAAACGGCAATAAATTTAGTACAATTTGAATTTGGAGGAACGGATGGAGCTAGAATCCTGAAATTTGAAATTAACATTACTGGCGGAAAGTACACATCTTGAAATTTAGAAATAAGAAAGGAAATTCGTATTTAATGTGTACTAAATAATAAATTTGGTACAATTTAAATTTTGGGTAAACCGATAGATTTCTATTGGACTGTATGATGTTGGTAGTTGCGAATATTTGTCCTTAAGTGTACTAAATGGTACTAAATTTTGATTTGGGTAAAACAATAGAGCTGGTATCCTGAAAATTGGAAATATAATTACTGTTGGAGTGTAAAATTGGGATATATAGAAAACTACCTATATTGGTGATTTGTACTTATATGTGTTAAAACGTACCAAATAAAGTACAATTTGTATTTGGACGAACCAACATGGGTGGAATCCTAAAATTTGAAATGAGGACTGCCGTGGGAGTATGGGGTATGTAGGAAGCTTTGGAACTAAATGGTACTTTAGAACTAAATGTACAAATTTGAATTATGATGAACCGATGGAGCTGGAATTCTGAATTTTGGAATGAGAGTCACTGATGGAGAGCAGAATAGATGCACCAAAGGGTTATTGGAAATTTTGAAATTCTCTATTGGGGTCTCTGGTTGCAGTAGATTCGTAATAAAGAGGTGGTTTTAGAAATGTGTACTACAAGTGCACGTAAAGTACTAAATAGTACTACGTTTGGTACAATTTGGATTTGGGTGGACTTAGGGTCACTCTGCATGTGTAGCCTGGACATATGGAAGTGATTGCGGAGATGTGTACCCCAATTGCATAAAAAGTACAGAATGGTACTACATTTGGTATTGGGTGGAGGAATAGAGGTAAAATTCAGAATGTTATTCAAAATGTTAAGGAGGACTTTTCGCTGACGAAGTAGGGGGTACTTGTAACTTTCAAATATATTTGTTGTGGCGTGGAACTGTGATTGTTTCTGGTGTTGTGGAACTGTGAATGTTTCTGTAGTTTTCACATTAGCACTGCAAATTTTACAAATTTTTACTCGAAAAGAGTTAATTTACTGAAAAGGCAATGCGACTTAAAAGAGAGTACAGAACAAAATAATATGTATCCTATGAACTTAACCGAAAAAGAAAAATATTTATAAAATGTGAATACATTCTGAAAAGTTGCACTTTCGATTTTATAATTTACATTTTGCCGCACTGTGTAATAACCATATTTATATAATAAAAAAATAGAAAAAGAAACTCGTTATTCATTTTCAAAAAGTCCCCGACGTACATACAAAAAATACTTCATTTACAAAAATTAAAAATCAATAAATAAATAATGTTCAAATTTCGTAAAAACGTTTTGTTGTACAGGAAAGTAATTTGATTAGTGGTCCAATTCTTCGACTAACTGAAAACGAAAAATGATTTAAGCCAATGCAAATACCGGTTTTAACAATTTTGAATTTGGCCAAACTTATTTTAAACTAATAATATGAACTTAGCATTAAAATGAAGCTGCCAATGTTTGAACAAATTTTGAAAGCCAATGATTATTTTTTAATTTTTTATTTTTTAATATTTTCTATTCCTTAAATAAATGATGGCGTTAGTAACATTATACACAAACATATACTATGTACATACATATGTAAAATGAATAAATTTTGATTTGTTTTGATTTTATTTATTATTGGGGGGTTATATTCTTAAATACGAATAAAATTAAAAATCAACTTAAAATAATTTCAATTATTTAATATTTTTTTTTTAATTTTTTTACGATATTCAATGGGGATGTATGTTTGGTATATTGGAGTGTAGGAGTTTGGTAGTATGATATATTAGCGTACCTGCATCGAAAATTGTGTTTTTGGCGTTGTTACAGCAACGGGTTTAGCTGACGACGATTTGCGCTGCTTGGAAAAAATTGGGATTTGAAAATTAGGGTTAATTGACATTGGGGATTTGTTGTTAGTGCTTTGTTGCATTGCTGGTTAAACATCAGAATATTAAGAGAGGCATGTCTTGCGTTTGTTTGGAAAATTAATTGCAAATCTTGATTGAACTTAGTGGGAAGGGGGGAAAATCAGTAGAAAAATAAAATAAATCGATCAAAAAAAAGTAACTTAAACTGAAACGAAATTGCATGCACCAAAGTTTAGGAGTACAATAACAACAGACAAACAAGTGGTAGAAGAAGATGGAGCTGTATTCCTATTTATACCTGAGCATTCAAGCGCAAACGCGATGTATTCGTCGTGGCAATGCTGTTCATTGTGCCAATTGATGTGAGAGATTCACGGGATCCGGTACGGGAGAGACGCGACTTTTTCGATGATGGTGACAATGAGACCTTAGCGATTGGCACAAAGACACCATATTTGGGTTTGCATTCGAAATATCTGTGTGGAAAATGTGTAATGGAAAATTAATAAAAAAAAAACAGAAAACATGATAGATGAAAATTCCGCCATCTTTGGTTAGGGAAAAACATACCTGACACCATCCACGGAACCATCATTTTTGCCAGTTGCTTCGTCGAGTTCAATGCCGCACCAATTGCCAGAGGCAAATTGTGTTTCGCCCAAATAACGTAGAATACCGGGGCGACTGCCAAAGCCGGAGGACACAATAACGCGATCACCAACGGTCAAGCCATTTTCTTTTTTGTTTGGAACGAGATTTGGATTAAAATATTTTGTAAGACTTCAAATTTAAAGAAATGTAATATGATTTGAAGTTTTTACATTTGGCATTAAAAAACTGTTTTTTAACTCCGATTTCGGTATAAAAATGTTCCAATCTTTGAACATACTCATATCCATGGCACAATTAGGAGGTAGAACAGCTGTGTAAACAGCTGAAATACAGCCCTGAGGCTATATCCGCTTTCTGTCAGAATTAAATGCAAAATGTTATTCGGATTTCTTTCTATTGCAAAACTGAGTTATATTCCCAGTGCGCGCCCAGCAATGTAAGTTTTTCCAAAAAAAAAAAATAATAATAATAAAATAAAAATATCCGGTTTCTAAATGTATGAGTGATTTCATATCTCGATAAGGAACTAGTTCGTTCGATCGAACTAGATTGGCCCAACGTTGATGGTAAAATTAACCTGTTTCCATGGTCTTGAAGACTTAATCGATTCATAGAACTCTTTCCTTGCTGCTAAAATACAAAACCGAAGTTGTAGGATTGACAGGGTCCCCAGGGACTTGGTCCGGCTCCGGAATGGTTACTATTCTTATATTTTTATGCATTTTACATTGAAAAGTTAACCTTTCCTATTATGGCCGAACCCATAAACAAAATGGTGTGCGGAAAAACATTTTAGAAATTCGAACTGGAAGAATACCGAATGTACTAAACGGTACCAAATATGGTACCATTTGCGTTGGGCGAACTGATAGAGCTTGGCTGTACGAAGCTGATAGTACGAAGAGTACTAAAAGCTACTAGTTTGCCGCCATAATGTTTTTTTTTTTTAACAATGGAGCTAAAATCATGGAATTGATACGGCCAAAACGTGCCTTATCGAAATAACGGTTTTAAACCCTAGGTCTATCCGATTCGATCCAAACATGGTATATCGTTATATTATTATCAGACTTAGATCGAATTCGGAGATGGGCAATATCGGTCCACTCTTTCTGGTGCCTTCCCCATAAAAGTTCGAAATTGTCAAAGAAAATATTTTACTGCACAGAAAAGAGAAAGAATAATCCGATTTTGCTTCAATTTTGCAAATCCTAATGCTAGGTCAGGTGCGAAAATGTATATGAATAATTATAACTCTTATAAAATGTAATGTAAGAGTCCGATTGTATTCATTTTGCACACATCACAATATTTTAATTAACCCAAGGTCTGATATGAAGATGGAATATATTGGCATACATTGGCATGGAATATATTGGAACATTGGCTGAGGGTATACATCTGTCGGGAAAACCGACTGATAATCAAAACCACAATTTGACACCTAATGTAGAAATCGCCAGAAAATTGTGGAAAAAAAGAAAGAAATGGCCGGAGTAAAAAGCATTGACTGAAGACTGGCCGCTTTCGATTGGCGTATATGCTGATTTTTATGGATTGTGAGATTTGCCATAATTGTCTCTTCCTTTACTTTCTCAGTAGAATTCTATATTTCGCTTTTTTACTAGTATTTTTTAATGTAAACGAACAAAGTCAATATTATGAATTTGGTTAAAGTAAAAAAATGTAGAAATTTCTGTACAAACTTTTTGAGAACTTCAAACCATATTACATGCTTCTTTAACGCTCAGCGTAGTATTTTAAAAACTTACTTCCTGGACTACGCAAGAATGAACTGCGAATACTGGCTGTGGGCGATACGGTGCGTGAGCGATCTGGCGACATTTTTGATAGTGGCGAAGTTGGTGTTGAGGCTCCTGGCAGTGGAGCCAATGTGAGGCGAGTCAAGCGTGAGAATATGCCACGCTTTGGTTCGCACTGGAAGTAACGTTTACCGGCAACACAACCATCATTTTTACCTTAAAGTTTTGTTTGTTTGTTTTTTTTTTTGCAAAATAAAAATATTAAAACGAGTCGGATTTAAAACAATTTACGCGATTTCAAACTTACCACTGGGTTCGTCCAACACTATGCCAGCCCAGTCTCCTGGGGCAAAATGTGTCTCACCAATATAGGCTATTTGCCCGGGACGTATGCCACCAACCCATACCCTCTGTCCGATGATAAACTGTTCCGTGTCGTGTGTCAGTATAGCGCCGTGATCTGCAAAAGAGAACAAATGGAGAAATTATTGTAGAGCTTAGTTGGAATCAGTTTGATATCTGGTAGTAGCATGTATCAGTAGTGGACCCATATTTGGGCAATGTTCCCCAAAACCAAGCATGAATTCAATATGTAATCATTTTATTAATACCAATACGATCTTCAATATTATCGCTGCCATTACAAATACAAAAATGAGAAGTTATGGCTAGTATTTATTCAGATGTGGTTGTTGTTGTTGTTGTTGTTTTTTTGTTATGACAGTAGTATACTCGAATTTTTGTTTACATTTTACTTTTGTTAGAAGAAAAAAAAATAACCTAAACGAGTTCATGATGTCATTCCGGGTTAAGAGATTAGTCTTAATTTACATGTCGCTTGTTTCCATCACACTTTCATAATTTACACACTTTTAATGAATTTACACATTTTTCGATACATAGAAAATATTTTAAAATCGATATATCTTATATTGAGTTGGAAATTTAAGTTTTACAATATGATTTCGATATTATTTTTTACTGTGGTAACAGGGTCAACCATAAATCATGGAATTTTCCTCACAATATCTTGAAATAGTGTACGCAGTTCACTCAAGAACACGACATGGATGTTTTCAAACTACGGAAAGTGTACTTAAAAAATAGTTTTAATCATTAAAAGAGTTCGCGGCGGGAGGTACCGGGGAATTGGTTTCCAAATAAAACAACATTTTTAATTGTAAGTAAAAAATATTGTTGAAAATAATATTTTCAAGGTCAGTACATAGAATTTTCTATTTTTTATCCTCTTAAATAAAAGGCATTTGCCACGGCCCTCTGTTAAAACGGCGAATAACAAAGCTGGAAATTTTCATTGAAAAATTACATATCCGTGTAGGTTGTGGAGTGGTCTACATGTAACGGTATTTTAGAGGGCACAATGTAGCGATACCGACCGATTTATCAGCTGAAATGGATGTTGCAGAATATTTTCAATATTGGTTCATGGGTCCGGTTAATTGTATTTTCAAGGACTTGACAACATTTTCTATTCGGAACGTTTGATTCGTTACGGGTAAAAGCAATTTTACATAAATTTAAACCAATTCAAAAAAAAATCGTAAACAATTTGTCTAAAATCATTTAACTTCCAAACATCGGCTGATTTCGTTATATGGGTACCTCAGCTTCGATCTAAAATACAATTGAGTTTTGTCAATCTACTTCGTTCCGTTCGGATGCAGACAGGCTGGCGGACAGACATGCTGATGAAGAATATACAGGATGAGATGAAAAAACTACAACCAAATTCAGTCTGCTGTCATTTCTAAGCCACTCGTCCGACAGCTGTTGAAATTATTCCAGTGACAGCTCATTATATTGTTTACAAGCGTATAAAAGCATCTTGGTGAGAATTTTCCAGAAAAAAAGTTATTCGTGATGGAATTCAGGCGTGATAGTGTGACTTCTTTATATTTGGCTGGAAAACCACAAGTGACTATCGTTGGACCACTCCAGTCTTTAAATGCGAATAAATATTTTGGACATTCCAACAGGACTCAGCACCGTCGCACTCAGCACTCGCCGCCCAAGAATGGTTTTAAAATGAGGTTCCTCTCTTCATTTCCAGCGCACAATGGCCACCTTAATCTCCGGATACCAATCCTTTGGACTATTGTGTCTGGAGTATTTTGGAAAGTAAGGTTGGCACTAAAAATACCAAAGTGTCGATCACCTCAAGCAAGTGCTTCGCCGGGAATGGTCGCAGCGCAACATTCGGGCAGCATGTGACGGTTTCAATGGCCGTTTGAAGGCCATAATTCGTGCCAAAGGTGACCAATTCGAACAAGTCTTAACTTTTTGATGAATTTGATGATATTTCCGACATTTTTGCCCTTAATTCAATAAAATTAAAACAAGTAAAAATTATGGCGTTTGACTTTGTTGCACTTTTCTAATCTCACCCTGTACATACTTTGTGGGGTGTAAAATATTGGTATCGAGGAGTTACAAAATGTATTACAAACTCAGCCCCCATAGTATGGTGTAAGGCAGGGTCAGGGTCGATGAGCGTAATTCTTTCCACTCACTCAATCTGATGCAATAAGAAACAGGTCTCTTTAACGAAATTTCTGTTTAATTGGATGGATGGAGGACTCCTCCAAAAAAAACAGCAACATTTTCAAAGAAAATAGTTTATCCAATTTCAAACTTTGTACATCTTAATATTTGAATCAATATTTCAATGAATTGAAATAAATTTCCTTTTTCTATTACCTATATCTCTCATAATATGTGAGACCAACCAGCAACTTTTCTCAAACAGCCTTTGTGAGCAGACAAAGGTTCAACATTTTATAGAAGAAAAATAATAATAAAAATACCTTTCGTACAGCGATTTTGATTAAACTTAGCACATACCAACATATTTAGAGCAGGTGTGAAAAGAGAATATATGAAAGAGAGGGGTATCCGATATAGTTCAAACTTGATACTCTGTAACATTTAGATAGGACTTAGGTCAGATGCGATAAATCATACATATTTGAAATTTAACCTTATATAACTAAGAATAGAATTGACTAAATAATGAATTAATTACAAAAAAACGTCAACAGTGTTCTCTGCTCTCTTTCTGTAAAAAAAACAATGAGCTCCGATCATTTATTACGAGAGAATAACGATTTTTGTCACTGAGTGTCTTCCAAAGCGTACGATAGTGCTTGTTTGCAAAGAAAAAATTAGTGGTGGTGTCAACTTAATAATCGATTTAAGTAAATTAAATTTAATACTTTTGGAATCAGAAATATTTAATTATAGTAAATAACAGTCTAAAGATCATTTTATAACTTAAAAAATTTACGAATCAAGCATTTTTCTGTTATATTATTTAATGCCGACATTAGGAACAGAAAAAAAGAGATTTGCCAGTAGTCGGCAGGGGGTGCCGATTATTAGGAAAATATAATTTTTGACAAATTTTACCAAAACTTGAGAAAACTATTAAAAAATTATCCAAAAACTACACAAATAAAAATAATAGCTGGCAAAAACTACTATTTTAGTAAAATTGCGAATTTTGCCAATTTAGTAAAAACAAATTCAATTTGTGTTTATTATTTCGAAAAGTAAACAAAATTTGGAATCTGAACAACTTTATTTATCTGCAATTGAAAGATTTAACTCAGAATGTTGAAAGATTGAAACATTGAAAATCCTAAAAGTGCCGACTACTGGTACACTTACCCTATATTAAATAAAAAATAATCGACTACCCAATAAAGTCCAAATTGTGTCAGTGGTAATATTTATACCAGACTTAGGTCAAGAGTGAACATGGAGAATAATGGCCCACCTCCTGGTACCTCATTCAAAAAAGAACAACATTTTGAGTAACTCAGTGCGAAAAAAAAATGGGGAAACTACAGCAGAATATTAAAGCAGAGCTTAAAAAAGAAGACACGTGTATCGGCATTTTAAAAGTTTACATCGCAAAGTAGCCTAAATGGAGGGAACAATTTCCCCACACTTTTGAACAGGTTCGGATTGAGATTCCTCTTTGGATTAAATCTAGAATCGTTAATATAGGAAATGACTTAATTCGGAGGTATCTCTAAAAATCTTTAAAAATTTTCAAAGCTCTATCTCAAATGTTGCGCAATATATCTCAAACTATAGTAGTCCTACTGTATGCAGTCAAAACAATATGAAGGCAATTATGTTACTTTATAATGTAAACTTTTAAAACGCCAATACACGTGTTTCCTTCTTTTAGCTCTACGTTTATAATCTGCTGGGTTTTCCCCTTGATTATAGAAAAAATTGAATTTGTTATTATTTAATCACAACTCCTATCAAAAGTAAGACGTCCCCCTATTTTCTGCAAAGTTCGCGCATTGCATCATCTCTACAAACAATACCTAGATGTAACGTAGTGGGACATATAGGTCCAATCTTTAAGATACATGGTCAAATGTTGAGGTTCTATATCAGCCGGACTGAAGCTTTCTAATAAACTTTAAATTAAACCTATACTCTGCGTTCCGGCGTGGTGGTTTCATCGCTTAAACTCCTTTGGCTTTTATTTCAAATGTAATATGATCCCTTCAATCCATTTTATTTTAAATTAGAACGAAAAATTGGACTTGGTACTCTACCACTCCATGCAAGAGTTTCGCTTCACTTGGCTTTGTAGGTTGTCATAAGACATTGGAAACTTTGCATGCAATTCGAATTGTTTTGTAAAACATAAAGAACAAAATCGAACTTGTACAAAACAATTGAATTCAATTTGATGGAGTAATTTAATTCAAACGGATATCGTTAAATGGCTTTGCAAATGAAAATTAATGCAATTTATGAATTCGTTCGATTCAGTTTAGTTTACAAAATATGAAAATAAATGCAATTATATCATGGTCATTGATACAAACACACATACACACGCAACGACGAACACACATGTCATACTTGCAAATATTAAAAAGTTGCATTTTTTGCTGTTGTCGTTGTTGTTTCTGGCTGTTTGTAACCTAAAATTGGTTGTCGTGAGTTCAAGTGTGGGGGAGTTTTTCCAGAAAGAACACAAAACCGATTATTAGACTGTTATTAAGGCAAAACTTGCTTTTGTTTTGCAATTCATTAACAACAAATGCATGCAAATTCTATCGGCATGTAATGGCTGGCCGCACTCCCCCGCCGACAAGCGGGGCAACTCCACTCCTCTCCATATACTGGCAACAGTTCAGACAAAATTTAATAATTGCGAGCAACAAAATAAACAACGAGCGGAATTGCAAAACATCGACAACAGATGCAATTAAAAACAAGTAAGCAAAGGCTACAGTCGAGCGGGGCCGACCGTTGAATACCCTACAACACTATAATAAACGATACAGTTTATATAGGCGAGATACTCGAAAGAATTCCACAAGATATTGTGACAAATAATAAAAGAAAACCATCAGGTTTCGTTCTCTAATTTTCGAATAATAGCAACTTAAACTGATTTGCTCATTTCCAATTTATTGGAAGATGTTGCACTTAAATGGTCTTCCAAGATCTGGAACCAATATTTCCCAAAGACCTATAATCTCTCAGAAGTGGCAAAAGTTTAACATTTATTATTGGTTTTTGACCGAAACGCATCTATATGAGATACAGACATTTGACAATATTCTTCAACGAAATCAGCGTTAACGAAATAGTCAGAAGTGCGTCTTTCCTGTATTTGTGAATTCTCCAAAAAGTCACTGTAATGGACATTTTCGTATTTTGTCTATAAAAGTTGGCAAACTCCTTCACACATTGAATATTTTTGGATGGCCATCCAAAACTGCTTGGCTTTTGCAATGTCCGGTAACCCCCATAATTACGACCTGCTGACAATTTTGCAGTTTTTTGGTCCATTTCAACCCCTAAATATATGGCGATCATCTCCAAAAAGAATAGGCTTTTATTCTGACCCTCATCTTATCTCCATGCAAAATTTCGTAAGGATCGGGCCATAAATGCGATCTGTATATGATATCCTGATATCCTAACTACTTAGTTTTGTTAGCTGTAGAAATATTACCAAATGTTTAATTCAAAATGAAAATATGCCAAAAATATGACAAAATTGAAAAAATATTAGAAAATTTTACAAAATCAATATTTTCATCTTTAGAGAGATATTTTTATGGGATTTTGTTAGACGTTTTATGTTTCCTGCCGAGAGGCCATTCTGAATTAATGAGAACTGTCGAAATCAGTTCAGCCGTTCTCGACATATAAGAGATCTTTCAAGCATATCTTCTTTGATAAACATATATATCGCACATATGTTGCTATATATCCGTTTTGTTGGATGTTAACATCAATGTAAAGATCAGAAGTAACCTTGTCATGGCTTTGTGATTTCGCCGGGATTTAAAATATTCGCGGTTTAATGAAAAATTTTGAATTTTTTCAACAAAAAAGATATGGTCTATTTTACCCGCTAAATATTATCCGATGACCACCCAAATGGGTAGGCTTCTTGCCAGCCCTAAACTCTAGCTACATGCGAAATTCCGCGTCGATTGGTCTATAATTGCGACCTATAGAGCAAGTGCAAAATCAGGAATTTTTTCAGTTTTTGGTCCATTTCAACCCCTAATTATTATGCGATCATCACCAAAAGAAATAGGGTTCTATTCTGACCCTAGCCCCACCTCCATTTTAAATTTCGTGAAGATCGGACCATAATTGCGACCTGTAAAGTGATTACAAATTAACATGGACAGACGGACAGACGGACGGACGGACGGACATACATAGCTAGATCGACTCAGCTCGGCGAGATAGGAAGATCCATATATACTTTCCTATGTGGGAAATCAATATTTCGTGGTGTTACATAATTTTTGGCCCAATCAAACTTATAATACCCCCAACACATAGTGTTGTAGGGTATAAAAATAAAAACAGCAACATCTAATTGATTTGTTGTACTGAGGAAATGTTAAAAAGTAATAAAAAAAAACGAACGAAGAAAAATGATTTATCTGGTCAGATATAAAGCGCTTTGTAAAACATAAAAATTAATAATGGCAACTATCTAATTGTAGATAAGAGAAAACAAAAAAAAAAAAACACACGAAAATAATTCCAATATCAGATAGAAAAACATGGGAATGGACTACCGATAATGCCAATGGCTTCTTGATTACATCCAACCCAACCCATGTTGTGGCCCAACATTTGCAGCGTTCATGCACTATTCGGTTGACAATTTCGTTTCTTTTTTTTTTTTTTTGTGGAAAATTAATGGAATGGAAACATCTGTCATCCAACTTGTTGCTGTTGTCGGTGTTGTGTGGGCTTCATCAGTTTAGTGGCTTGTCTGTCGTGTCATGTGAAACGTCAAAGATTGACTAATGGCTGATTTATCGATCGCATGCAAAACGGCATAGATAAGATAAATTCAATTGTTTTGCAGTTTTTGTTTTTCTTTTTTTGGGAGTGATGAAATATTCGCAGCCAGAGGGATGTATCTTGAAATTCTAAAACACTCCTAAATAGTTGGAAATAACCTTGAGCCGTAATTCAGCACAAAATTCTCTTATAAGATTAAAGTTCAATAATAGACATATATTTCTCTGGTAAAATCAAATGCAATATTTTTTGAGGGCGATGGAAGTTAATAAATAATAAATAACAAATCGTTAAAAAGGCAAAGAAAATATATTGCATTGAGGGAAATATGAAAGATAGGCACATTTGTTGTTATATGGAAACAAAATCGGTATTTGTTTAAGAAACATAAGAGTTACAATATGTATACCCATACCGCTCGATTACGGTATTTCGGAGATTTCTGTCCCAGTTCTGTCCCTATCTGCTGTATTTTGGTATTTCGGGTTCTCTGTTAGAAGATTAAATCCTCTCAGAGAAAATACGCAATATAAATATAGCACTCAAATTTGAAGATTTTTCAGGAAAATCGACATGTCCATAATCTATCTCTACCAAAAAAATCCTCGAATTTGTTCCAAAAATGAAACTATCTCGAATTCGAGCGAGTGCGCTCTTGGAAGCAGAAATTTTAGATGTCGCTTTTAAGTGGGAGCAAAACTCGTTCAAAATCCAACAGATTCTATTATTAAGTTCGTCATTCCGTTTGTAACTCACCGAATTAATAATTTCAGACATAACAAAATATATATATTCTTGATTAGCGTAAAATTCTAACACGATTTAGGCCTGTCCGTCCGTATGTTGTAATCACGCGAATCGAATGAAGAGGTGAAGCTGAATTTTGTACAGATCTGTCTTTTGTCTGCAGGCAGGTCAAGTTCGAAGATGAGATATATCGGTCCACCATATCGTATAGCCCCCAAATAACGGCACCCCCGATGATTGTAGCCAAATATTTCAATGAAATTGATCCAAAGGAGTTCCTTCTGAGTACTTTACCCCCTGTAAGAGCTTTGTCTATATCGGTTAACGGTATCGTAAGCCCCCATATAACGGTATCTCCCAATATTCGGTATTTTGATGATTTCAGCGACCTTATTCATCGGAGTTGTTTCAAATTTCGTATTTAGGGTTCGTCATGGGAACTTTGGTCTATGACAGAAATTTGTCTATTCAGGTCCAGGTCTTCGTATAGGCCCCATATATCAGTACCTCCCTATATTCTACACAAGGAGTTCTTTGTGAGTACTTTGACTCCTAAAAGAGAATTGTCTATCTAGGTCCACGATATCGTATGGCCCCCATACAACGGTATCGCCTGATATTCGATATTTTGACGATTTTAGGGACGATATTCACCAGAGTGGTTTCAAATTCTGTATTTAGGGTTCGTCATGGGAACTACAGGTCTCCAGGTCTTCTTATAGCCCTGATATACCTATAACGGTACCTCAATTCCCGTATTCGGTATTTTGATGATTTTAGCTACATTATTCACCGGATTTTTTCATGTTTAGTATTTGAATGTTGTAATGACTTATCACAAAAGTTGCCTATGTTGGTCTTCGTATAGGCCCCAATATACCGGCGACTTCCTATATTCGGTATTTTTAAGATTTTAACAAAATTTTTAACGGAATTTATTTTTTCTGAAAATTTCCAAATTGTTTCCACATTGTGGAGGGTATTCAAGCCATTAGCCATTTCAGCATGTTTAGAGGGGTTGCATTCATAACTGGGCAGATGTATTTCAATATACAGATATCCTGCAGATTGTGGATTGGGTTCAACCTAAAACTAAGTCGTAAAATACACGGAATCTGCTTCTAAATCGATTGTTATCAATCTTAGCAGAATAATCGAAAAGGCGGTTGTGTGCAAAAATATTAATCATAAAGTCTTCATTATTTATATGAAATAAAAGAATTACCCTACAATAAACCACAAAAGCATTTTTCCTATAACATTCAATTAATTTTGAAGCGTGATCTTCACATCATCAAAAAAAAAAAAAAAAAAAAAAAAAAATATATCAGAGCCACCTGCACATTAGAAATCATGATGCATTTGATGATGGCATGACAATTGACGTCTCTACCATCATCACATAAATTGTCCGATTCAGATGTTAATAAATGTCACGTCCAGTCTGTCATTCCATAAAACACAAAAGACAAACGACGCTCCAACATAGAAAATGCTCCAAAGATGATTAATGAAGAAATTTTGCAATGTTTTTTTTCCTCTCCTCTAATTTTGTGCGTTCTCACATCGCTAGCCAACAAATGTGCCATAAATATCGCTTCGTTGTCAGCCATTCATGCCAATGTGCCACCATTTAAGGCAACGTCAAGTGGCACAGATTTTATGGCAAAATGCAACAGTAAAATGGTTGGCTGGCTGGTCTATGCTGCAGTTCGATTGATCGGTCTTCTTGTTGTAAGCTGCTATGCAGCAATCGGATTGAGTAGGAAACCAACTAGCCACCTGCGCATGTGCCGCCGCCTCTGCTGAAGCTAATGAGGCTGTGTATATGGATTGTCAACGCCAACGACAACGAAGGAATGAATGCACCGGGCTAGTAAGTTAAAAGAGGGGCGCAAACGACACAACTCGCTGCAGATATGGGAGAAATATAAATCTTGTATTTTTCGTTAGCAAAAAAACAAAAAAGAGATATTGACAGATGTTAGACAATGTCTGCGTGTTATGTTGCTGTTGGGTTATTCTAGAAAAGTTTTAGTCGGTAAACAATAAAGAGAGCTTAGTATTGTTGCAGTTGTTGGTTTTTGTAAGTAAGAGTTATTTTGTTTTGTTATTTGGGTTGACTGTGTTCTAGGAGACATTCTTAACTCTTACCTGAACTGCGTCGTCGGCCTGTGGCCTCTACGTAAAAATCGTCTTTTTTTGGAACAGAAAAACAAAACACATAATTATTTCCAATTCAGTTGAATATTTGCAATTCACATGGATAATAGAAAAAAAAACATAGAACTTTTTCTTTTTCAAACTTACATGGAGAACTTGACTTGAATGAATAGCGTGATGGAGAGAAACGATCCACTTCGGGCGACAATGACGAACGTGTAAAACGTTTAACTGTCTCCTGATAGAGGTCTGCATTATTTTTATTGACATTTCAAAATTGGCGAAGCGTGGATGGGAGAGGCGATGCATGGTTTGGGAAGTATTTTTTTTTTTAATTAAAAATAAATAAAAATTTGATTATAACAACAATGTTACACAAGTATTTTGCTACAACAAAATATTGTTAATCACAAACGTAGGGTATTAAAGTAACATTAAACAGAACAAGATTAATGCTGTTAGGAACAACTATTTTTTGTTATAGTTTTGGGTACACTGTTAGAGTTAAGGATATGGTGCATTATGAGGATATTATTACTGGATAATTTTATTAGAAAAGGATTTTTTGTTCAAATTAAAAGTTCTAGCAATGACATCCAAATTTTAACAATGAAATTGCAAGGTTTTCAAAGATAAAGAAAAGTAAATTAGTATGTGATCTCGTATAGAAAAATGCACGTGCTTTGAAATACAACAATTGTATGATAATAGCTTAAAGAGTGTTCGGCAACATTAGAATCTGCTCGATTCCGAACAACTATTGCTCCCTCTCAAAAACTAGTAAAACATGCCCACTTCTATTCGAGCAGTATCAAAAAATTACGTTTGTTCGATTTTCTTCTGCTCCTAGGAGCGCTCACGCTCCAATTCGAATGAGTTTCACTCTTTACAGGGTGAGATAAAAAACTGCAACCAACTTGAGACTGCTGTCATTTCTAAGCCACTCGTCCGACAGCTGTTAAAATTATTCCAGTGACAGCTCATTATATTGTTTACAAGCGTACAAAAGCATTTTGGTGAGAATTTTAAAAAATATAAGTTATTCGTGATGGAATTCAAGCGTGATAGGGTGACTTCTTTATATTTGGCTGGAAAACCACAAGTGACTATCGTTGGAGCACTCCAGCTTTTAAATGTGAATAAATCTTTTGTGTCTCGTACCATCGCTCGTTACTGTGATACAGGTATCGTAGCCCGACATCATGGAAGTGGTCGGAAGAAAACAGCAACATCAGCAGAAATGGTTAGAAAAGTAAAGAAGCGACTTGATCGAAACCCGCGTCGCAGTGGCCGAAAAATGGCTCGTGAGCTGAACATATTGCAATATTCCATTTGGCAAATATTCCATAAAGTGCAAGAACCTACATCGCTACAGAAAGAAAATAGACTCAAAAGAGCTAAAGAGTTGCTTAGCTTGGCCGAAAGTGGTAAACTGGACTATTGTGTCTGGAGTATTTTGGAAAGCAAGGTTGACACTAACAAATACCAAAGTGTCGATTACTTCAAGCAAGCGCCTCGCCGGGAATGGGCCTGTACATTGCGAACTTTCCAATGACAAGACTTAAAATTGCAAAGCGACATGTCCCGCTCAGTAAGCACAGTTTTACAGAAACCCACCCGGAACTTCTCTGTAACGTATCTAGTCCTCCCCTCTCTGAATTCAATTAAATTTAGAATTCTCTGAACAGTTCTTGGAACTGTACCTGCAGTGTTCTCGGTGACGTCAGAAATATTTAATTATTGGAATTTCACATGTACAACAATGGCAACAACAAAAATACAATTGAAAATACATTAACAGTAATTATTTTCACACAATACCGCTCAACACAATTCCCATTTCTTGCTAATGTGTCTTACAAATAGACAGTTCATTGAGCACACCATCCAATACACACACGTACATGCACACATACATACATACACTATCAAATACTATCATCGTCATCATCATAACAATCTGTAAAGAATATTCCGCTAAAAGCGCTTAACAAACGTTTGCACTTTGCTAGAATTGTTGACGACGTTGCCCCCTCTGTCCCAGGTGGAGCCCCTTACCACTTCACCAGCATCACCGTTCATCAGCAGGTAGTGTTAGCGTTGTAATGCCATTTTAAAAGCTGATTCTCAATTAGTTGTCGCTATCTTTCAAAAGAAAGCGGCAACAGCAACTGTTGAAAGCGAACAGAAAAATCACGACGTTTGTGTTGCTATTTTTAGATCTGTGCTTAGTAATCGCGGTGACAATGAAAACGAAAACGAGCAAAATAATGCCTAGGCGAGATGTTTTCCACAACGTAAAGCGCGGTCATCCAAACGCGACGAAAAGTCAAATGAATGCACGACCTGTTTGTACATTAGAACTAAGAGGTGGTGGGGGGTTTTCTGACAGCCAACGAGCTAGTGGAGCTGCATGAATGATTCATCATGACCATGACGTCTAAAAGATGACTTCTCTCTGTTGCGAAAAGTGGCGCCAAGTTGCGAGAGCAACAACTTTGGAAGTAATCACATCCTTAAATGCAACGCGATTTGACCCCGTTTCAACATTTTTGTTTTTGGTTTTGTCTGAAAATCAGCTATAGACTTGGAAAATGTTCTAATGACATTTGTAAAAAAGAGCCGGTCATTTTAATTGCGACAAAATTGAGTTTGTCATTAAGATTAAGTATGTGTGGTGCACTTTGTTTTCAGATTTTGATGGATTACGCTGAAACATTATTGCAAATAAATAAAATGGTATTTTTAAGAGACATAGACTTATTTACAAACAGGAGGGGATTTGAAATATCCTTGTAGAAAATTAAAGCCTTTTCAGATGTGAAAAATGATTTCCCAGTAAGAAATCTCATTGCCAAATAATGAGGTCATTAAGTACATTTTGACACCAATACATTAAGTACATTTCGACACCTTATTTTAACATTTAAGTTCAAAATGAAAATGTCAGGGAAATCGGATAGAGAATTCACAATCGTAAAAAGTGGGCGGAACCGTCATAAATTCAAAAATATTGTTAAAATTATCAAAATTGCGAATATCAGAGGTTATAATTATATGAGGCTATAGGAAAACCTTAAAATAAAAGTATAGACATTTTTCTATCAAAGTACCCATCACGAACTCAATTGGAAAATGTGGCTAAATTAATCGAAATATTGATTTTCGGAAGGTACCGTTGTGTAGCAGTTAGAGGAAGACGTGGATCTGCATGGAGGTAGTGCCTATTACAAACTCCAAATTTAAAATAATAATACCAGTGGGAAATGCGGCTAAAATTGCAAAAAATCGAATATTGGGAGGTATAGTTTTATGGGGGGCCATACGAAAACATGTTCTATTAAGAAACTTTTTTATCAGAGAATGTACAGGGTGAGTACCAACGCTCGTTACCGTAATACTGGTAGCGTGGCCAGACGTCAAGGAAGTGGATGAAAGAAAACTGCAACATCGCAATATTCCCTTCGGCAAATATTGAAAAATGAGCTCGGGTTAAAGCCATTGAAATTCCAAAAAGTGCAAGAACTTATATCGCAACAGAAAGAAAATAGGCTAAAAAGAGGTAAAGTGGCGAACTGCGGCCAAATTTGAACAGCGGCCGAATTTGATTTTCCCGATGAGAAAACATTCGTTGTCCAGCAGTTTGTAAATCTCTCTCTCTCTCTCTTTAGCTTACGAGTAATACAGAACGTATGTAGTTGTCATTATTTTTGGAATATTGCCAATTAGTATTAGGCTATCATTACTAGAAATGCTAAAGGTTTTTGCTACTCTCTGTATTGAGCCTTAATGTTAGTTTCCACAAACAAACGAAGATGCCTCACCATCATAGCAATACAATATTGAAAAAAATATAACGAATTTCAAATCTGAAAAATTACATAAATATACCTATGTAGGGCGAGCAACACTTTATGAGGAAGTGATAAATTAAATATCCAAATATGTAATTATTTTTGGTCTTTCTGTTTGGTTTCTTCTTGTTTTTGCTTCACCAGTTGAGTAAAACTTAACCTTCGCTCGGCTGCCAACTATTTGAAAGAGTTGAAATGAATAAACCGAGTCGGGCCAGAAGAAATGACATTGTTCAGAATTTTATTTTGGTTTGTGTTTTGCAAAATTTGGGCCATAGTTTTCGTATTATGTGTTTCTTTCATTTTTCTTGTTGTCGTAGAATTGGTGAAAGTTTGCAACGAAGAAAAAATAAGGGAAACTCTTAAAATGTTTATTATTGAATAAGGCCTCTAAGAAGATTGACAAAAGATAAGAAAGAATATAAATGTTTTTATTTCGGGGACAATAGGGTGCGGCTGCAAAGGTTCGATGCAAAGATTACCATTAATACGCCTCTTTTCATTTATTGTTTTACTTGAATCTAGGATGATTGCAAGGCATGTTCAATCTAATGGAAAACAGAAAAAGAAAAAAACTTAGCTCAAGAAAACATAAAAGTAGTAATTATTGCTCAATTTTTTTGTTTTGGTATTTCTGACGAAAAACTGACCAGCACTAATCGCTTGAATGGCTACAATTGCTTCTGTTGTACTTCACTTTTCGTCTGGCATTTCAAGTGGCGGTTTTTATTACCAATTCCATCGGTGTGTAATGAACTCGGCTTTTATTTTGTTAAAAAAAAAACATTTTGCAATGATGCAAAAAACTGTATATTGAACATTCGCTGGTGCTGCTAGTCATGCAAGAAAGGAAGCAACAGAGGAAAAAACGAAACAGAAACAAAAAATAGCTGCAAGAGGTAAATTGATGGAAAATGTGTAAGAGTGGACATTAAGGTGGGTCGTATTAGCCATGCGGCAAGAATATTATATAAAAATTAAGAAAATATTCCCAGATGGTGCCACTTAGAGTACCACCAGTCAGTATGAGCATTACCAGTAAGCCAAACGGAATGAGCTACAATTCAGAAATTTGGAATGAGAGTCACAGATGGATTTTAGGACAACTTTACCAAAGTTTTAGAAATTTGAACTTAAAAGTGACGAAAAGTTCTAAAATGGTACTAAACTTGTATATTGGTACCATTTGCTATTATGTGAACGGCTAAATCCTTTGAAATTTGTACTTAGTGTGCGAACTTTACTAAATGGTACTAAATTTGGAACAGTTTAGTTAAGTGTGAACAGATGAAGTTGGAATTTTGAAATTTTGTGTTGGGGTCCCTGTTGGTAGCCGGTTTGTGAAAATATATACTACAAGTACACGAAAAGTACTAAATCTGAAATTTGCTATTA